ACAATCCTACACTCAACACGTCATTTTTGACTTATCTGTGCTACGTCTCTACACAGTATTTTTTTTTACAGAACACATACTGCATCTTGCTATTAAAGAAAAATTCCAGCATGATTGTATTTTTATGTTGTTTTTTTTTTTATGCTTTTCCTGCAGACCCTCAAAAGCGTCTTCTGCTCCCACCACACTGACAATGTTAGGAACACAAAAGCATTTTGTCTCGCCGCCTCAAACTGAAAATGTTTGGGCTCAGTGTGCTCACAGCGATTAGAAGAGGCCATTTTTGTTCCATTATTAAATACCTTACAAAATTAAACATCTATGTCTACACTGAAAGCATTAGATCAGTATTGGTAATGAACAGTAGTATCTGCACAAAATTAGCTCAGAGGCTCAAAATGACGTTCGGCAACTTAATTAATAGGCGAGGTGATTGAAAGAGGAAACTACAGACGGCTTCACGGCGCAGTTGGCAGGAAAAATAAAATATTTGAGGATACTCAGTGCTGTCACGTTTCGAAATCCATGCATGTGATTTAGGAAACTGCAACAAAACCACCAGAGTTAAAGACAGCTGATGGGAAAGCAACAACGCCCACTCACATCAGATTCGATATTGATTTAAGTCCAAATACGCAGCCTTCATTTTTTGGACATATTTGTAGAGACAGCATCTAAAACTCAAGCTTGTTTGTGGGCGTTTCCACAAGCATCTGCTGACATTTGAGATACTGACATCATACTGACTGGAGACAACCCGCACTCATCCCCAGGGCGCCAAATATGGCAGCTTGGTCATCAGCCCACGATACCCCTGAACGCTCTTCCAGCATCTGTATAATACACCAGGCTTACAGATAATTCCCTGCTAAAACCATTCAAGGCTATGACTCAGTATACAAAGCGAGAAAGTCCACATGGTGGTCCACATGGGTGGCAGATGGATCAAACAAACACAGGACTTTCACCCAGGGGACCTGTGTTTGTAATACCAAAAGTCAACGTTGAGCTCAGGGCTGCACCTTGAATGTTGGAGATTCAAATTGCTAGTCAGTGTGCTGTGCTGTGTACTTATGGGGATGTTTTGGCCCCCAGATTTTGCTGCGGAGAGAGCGCTTTTGACTTTCACCCTACTCTTTGGTACAGTCCGCTGCGGACGTGCTGCAGCGCACAGAGGAGGAGAAACTTTCTACCGTAAGGCTGCAGGACAACTTTATCTTCTCTTTTCTGTTTGGAAGTAGCGACTTTACAGCTCACGGGTACTTAATATGATAAAGTATGTTGCAGATTTCCGATCTGTTGTTAGCACTGTTAGCTTATTTACTATGTTACATGAATGCTGTTGTTGGGTCAAGTCTGATTACAATTGAATTTCCCCTCAGGGATTAATCAAGTATATCTTCTTCTTCTTCTTCAAAAACATCATCGAACATTCATATACAGCGGCCAAATCTGAATCGACTGACACAATTTAAAGACAGATACAGCCTGTGTTGAGTGTTTTAGAACTACAAAATGTAGTTAAAGTAACGTTGCATTTGTGTCACGTGACAGACATATTTGTTACCTCAAGGACAGAAGTAAAGCTACGCACCAAATATACTTGTTCTACCTCAAACCATAATCTTTTTTAAAACCTAACCAGGTAATTTGGTTGCCTACACCTGAAGTGGTCGCCGAAACCCACATTTTCTGTGAACGCAGACGTGACACATCCAAAACTGACTCTAGAGGGGTATTCAGTCAGACTTTGAGGCGTAGGACCTCTGACCAAGCTGCTGTATTTGACGAGTTGGGGTTGAGAACGAGTTGCCGGAGAACGTCATATTGTAAGGCTGTGAACGCTGATACAAAGCTTTGTTTTCATGAGAACAGCCTAGCTGGGGACCGCTATCGTTTCACATTGATGGATTTCAAAACCAGCAGCATTTGTTCCTGCGTGTTCTTCCCCATCAAGAGCGCCCTAATATCCTGATGGATATCGAATCTATCAAAATGACCTACTGGTAGCTTCCTTCTCCTGAAGCCGCCACACAATGGCACATCTCTAAAGTATATGAACTTAAGCAGGAACTTGCACTCTTCATGTTAATCTTATTTTACTGCAAAAACATAACATGCCTCGTTTATGGTGACTTACTGAGCCAGTCTACCCCAGAATGAAGAACTGTGTTAGTCCGTTTTTTTTTTTTTTTGTGACAGAGGAGAACACGTCAATTTTCCCTTTTCAGTTTTTGATTTGTTATCAGTGGAGGCCGAGAGGCTCAGAACGCTCAATATTTCAGCAGACAAAAAGCAAAAAACAAGAGTATAAAATAAACATGTTAATGGATTTGTACAGAAACAACATGTTTCTCCACCTGACAATACCCCACACATTATGTCATGACACCCTGAGAAGTCCCGACACCAGAAACTTATTTCTGATCTTAGATGGACTACAGCTGCACTCTGGTTTGCTGTAAAGATCAAGCAATGCCCTTTCTAAGCTCTTAGATAGCTCTGTACAGGGTCAGCGTCGGCACAGAAGAGATGCAGGATTCAGATTTGATCAACTTTAATCTTTCCGTCACACAGTTAACTCTCTTGTATCCTTAAAGGAGCCGCACAATTCCTTCTAAAGAGCTCTTTTTTCATTCTTAAACGGTATTTTTTACGTCCCATGTTTTTGTGTCTAAGTGACTGATGGAGACCAATTTGGGAAATCAGACCAGTATTCAACGGGAGGGCTGCAGCTGGCAAACAGGCTGCAATGTAATGCACCATCAATTTACATCCAACAAGGGGCGTTGGTAGCTTAGTGGTAGAGCAGGCGCCCCATGTACAAGGCTGTTGCCGCAGCGGCCCGGGTTCGAATCCAGTCTGTGGCCCTTTGCTGCATGTCATCCCCTCTCTCTCTCTCTCTCTCTCTCCCTCCCCCTTCATGCTTACCTGTCCTGTCCATTAAAGGCAAAATGGCCAAAAAAATATCTTTTAAAAAAACAACAAAATTTACATCCACCAAAAGTGCTTCTTTTTGCCCCTGACAGGATCAGATTGTTATTATAAGAATCTGACAACTTATGGAAGGATCCCTACAGAGCCAGACGTTTTTAGGCTGCTGTCAGACCTAGAGTCGTGTCCTTTGGTCTGAATCAGGGACTCAAGTTGTATAATTGCCTAGAGTTGGTTCGTGTTCTCACGGCAGCATTTACAAGCGGACCAGATCAAATGCCTTGTGTATGAAAGTTGCTCTTGATTGGTCAGAATTTCCATGCGGGAAAAATCCAGGAAGTAAAGCAAACGTTGAAGAAGAGTACACTTGCAAGATAAATGTGACACTTTCTAATGTCACAATGGAGGGACAACTACGCAGGTTGATTTTAGCGCTGCTCATCGTGGACTATATTGCTGTCATTGTTCATTTTAGTCAAACCATACAGTTTGTTTTCAAGTTGGAGCCGCGTGATGGGACTGCCGAATGCGCAAACTGATGCATTGGATGCGCCGAATGTGCATATTACGGCAGTACAAGAGGAGGTGCACATTAATAATGCGAATGCAGTTTCGAGGTTAGAATGAACAGCACAAGAGTTTGGTTGTAACCAGACCGACACCACCTCTTCAAGAAGGTCTCAGTCCGGTTGTTCTGGTGCGCGTGAACCGCACTTAGGGGGCAAAAAAAAATTGAGTTTGACTGAACCGAACCAAACAGGGCAGGTGTGAAAGCACCCCAAGATCCTTTTTGTTTGACCAGAAACTGCCTCAAAATCATTCTCGCCATCCCACCAGACTCCATTTAAATAAACAGTAATTTTAGCCTGTATAGAGGCAGCATGTTTTCACATTTAACTGGGTGAATTAAGGGTTTATTTCAACCAGATCAGAGTTGGTGATTGTTGGAACAGCAGTAAGATGAACCAAGACTGTTTCTGAGAGTTTTATTTTCTCTCTGTTGACTTTGAATTAAGTGTCTTTTATGATGATAAAATGCCTGTTTATTTAAATGGAGTTTGGTGGGTTTGGCGATAGCGTTTGGTGAAACAAAAAGGATCTTACTCTTTAACAAACAGGTCTATCTCTGTCAGGATACCCTCCATAATATTCACAGACACTTATAATAACAATCTGAGCCTGTCAGTGACAAAAACAAGTACTATTTTTTGGATGAAACTTGACGATGCAGGATTGCCCTTTAACATTACATTGCTGCGTCTTTTCACCACTGCCGGCCTCAGTGCTCTCCTCAAGACTGGACCAGGCTCATAAAACTGTTGCTCCCATTTGTCACTTAGACGCGGAAACATGATAAAATAGGGTTCAGGTTGGAAAACATCAAAGTCACCCTTTAAGCTCAGTGGTATCCACCTATCAGGCAGCAGCGTTTTGAAGCAGCACCAACCTCCTCCAATCACATTGCAAGGATTGCAGCATGATGAGCGGGGTTACTGGCTGGTGGGTCAGTGGCGTGATGCAACAGGTAAGACAGCGGAGGAGAGAAGCAGCCAGCCGACCAGATCCCTTGTGTATGGTGTCGTTATTCATTTAACACCGGCAAGAAGAGCAACAGGGTCTCTAGTGGGGGTTTGCAGGGGCTAAGCAAATGGAATGTAACCAAGGGAGCTGTGATGAACAAAAGCAAACTAGTGCAAGGCGTTTTCCTGTAGCGTTGATGTGATGTGAGCAGGTTCTGCAGAGTGTTGGTTCCTTTATCTGCGCAGACGTTCCCCAAATGGTGACTGCAAATACATGTGACCGAATAAAGAATATTCTGGTAATCTGAAGTGAGTGTTAAGAGCAGATGTTGGTGTTGTTCGTACAATAAAACAAATGTCAGCACGTATTTGCAGATACCATTTGGCTAAGTCTTCATTTCCTGTTTCACATGTAACCAACACTCTGGCTGGAGAGACGTGTGCGTTAACGTGTGAGTCTTCTGTTTATCAAAGAAGGCCTTAAGTTTCTTCACAGATAGCATTGCTGCAGGAAGGGCACCAGAGTGCGTGGGTGTATGTGCGTTTCTACGAGAGCGTCTGACTGGCGAAGAAGGCCTTGGTTTCTCCACAGGTGGGGTTGGTGCACAGCGGGCAGCGGAGGGTCAGCTGACGGGAGCAGGGCTGGTTGGACTTCAGGTGGGACTGGACCAGGTCTGCCAGAGCCTGAACAGGATGAACGATATACAGTCAATATTGAAACAGAAACGAATAGAGGCACTCCTTTCTTCAGCTTCGTTAACTTTGTGGTTGTGTTTCAATTTAACGACTGTACGATATATCGATATATTTTCAATCAAGATATAGATTTAGACACAGCGTTTATATCGTTAAGGAGTAGGTTAATATAATATGACATAATATATGTCACTACCCCTTTCTTAAGTTTCTTCTTTTAACAAATATATTATTTAAACAAATTCCCAAATTTATTTACAACTAATATACAACTATCCCCAGTCTGTTTACCACCCAATTAAAGTAAAAGGTAAATTAAACCCAATTTGACACAAGTTTTAAATTAAATTCTCCTCTTAAATTATAACCCACCTCCCTGTCATAAAACAGTTTTTCAAATATTGCCCGGAAGTGAATTATTTCTCACTTTAAACACGATTATTGCAGTTTTAAATTTGACCAATGGATTTTTAAATTTATTTTATTTTAATCATTTAATTTAAGCCTTATAAAATAAAATATAATAAAATAAATTAAATAATAAAATAAAATAAAAATTAAATTGAATCAAATCAAATTAAATTAAACAACTGCAATGGATGGAAACAATATAGCGTAGTTCAAGCAAGATTTAACCACTACCATCTACATCACTACATCTGTTTAAAGGTATGTTATTCCGACCTCCTCCACTGTCGTCTTGTTTGTTGCTGTGTGAAACGTCTGCCCTCTAGTGCCACCTATTGGCTGGATATATGCCATCAGAAAGGACGCATGGAAGTGCGAGGTCAGTGATGTTTAGAACGATTGATCTATTTTCGTAGATAGGGAGTGTAAATGAGCCTTAAGGTTGTTTAAACGAGGAGTGACATACAGTAAGTAAGCTGATTGTACAAGACAGCAACCTGAGCGAGGATCCATCACGAAATAAACCCCTGACATCAGCCGGGCTCTGCGGCAAAAATTCTGATGAATGTATTTTTCTTTATTTTCCAGCAGCTGCTGCTTGCAGACGGCAGCAGACTGATGCAGCTCACTGAGAAACTAAAACCACACCGAGGAAACCATCCTTCAGTAACTACCAACTAATCATCCTCTGGATATTGATTTATACACTCACTCTCTCATACACACACACACACACACACACACACACACACACACACTCAGAGACTTGGCGAGGGGTCTCTGAGCGCGGCGGGTTTGACCAGCCAGCCAGCCGGGCGGTTCAGTTCTACTGTAGTCAGCTCTAAAGGTTCCCATTGATCTGCCCCCTTCCTTTAATAAACCCTACACACACACACACACACACACAGGAGGAGTTGACTGTTGGGAGAAAGGTTGCAGGGTTGAGGATGAAGGCAAGGAGGGAGGTGGGATGGGAAAGGGAAGAAGGATGGAAGTAAGAAAGGAGGCAAAGGAGAGAAGGAAGGAGGGAAGGAAGGAAGGAAGGAAGGAATCCATTTATTGACCCTCTCCTGCCTGGAGTTCACTTACTTCACAGAATCTTCTGCTGCTGTCTCCTCTTCTATTATTAGAGCCCTGCCTGCCTTCCTGCAGTCTTCCCTCCATTTTTTATTTCTCCCTTCTTTTTATCTGTATCTCTCATTGTTTGCTTTTCTTATTTGTGTCCTTTATCACCTCCCCTTGCTCCTAATTGTTCCTAACTCCTACATTTTGCCCTCTTTAATTTACTCCTTCTTTAAGCTTTAAGTCTGTGCTTGTTTGAATATAAATGCAGACATGCTCCTTTATCAACACTGAACATGTTCCATCTTTAACTGCTTTTAAAATGTGTTACATCCATTTATGTAATGTGATAATGAACTTCTCTATCAGTCTTGATCAGGGTTCCTACAACTTGAGGCAAATTAGATTTAAGATTTTTATGATTTAAGACAAATTTTACATTAACAAAAACTGAAGAAAAAAAAAACCATGAACCGACATCCAAGAGTATTTTGACAAGGGTAGAACAGAGCAGGGAAATACCTGGTGAACGATGGTGGGTTCACGTAGAAATTTTGTGTTTCTCACTCTGCATGTGGGATAGTGTTGCCTTGATTCCCATCATGCCAAGTTTAAAAAACATTTTGCTTAAAAAACACAAAGGCTCATGTGCATTGCCTCATGCAATTTCAGCGTTGCTGCAAAATTTTGGTCAAATAGCCAATTTTTTGTTGACTTTGCACTTCACCATGTAGTCTAGTGCAGTGGTTCCCAACTGATTTAGCCATGGGGTCCAGATTTCTCTTTAGGGCCCGTACACATGCGCCCTCAAATTACTTGTTTTCACTGAAGACGTGCAGCAAGTGGGCTAAAACGCCAAAGCGACATTGGGTGCGTTTACATGATGGCTTCTCATTCGGAATGAAATAAATCTGAATGAAATCATTCGGAATTTAAGTTTTTCCAGGTAGTTTACATGAAAAAATATTCATTCTGAACGAGGGTTTACACGGGAGATCAGTTTAATCGCCTTTATTCAGGTCTGCGCAAGGTTTGGGGCAGGAAAGGTTTCTGATTGGATAGGGGGCGGGGCGGATGTTACGTGTTTACGTTTACTGGAAGAAAACACTGTAGTCCTCGCTCCGGATAACAAGATGCTTGACGCTGTCGTTCTTAGTGCCTTTTTCGGGCTTGTTTTGCTTAAATTCTTGAAGCAGCAGTACGACAACAACCTTGTTCTGCTAATGCTTCGTCTGTTGAGGAGGAGAAGGGAGGTAGAAGGTCGAGGAAGGGAGATAGAAGACCGTGCTGTGGCGAATGGAAACCGGTGAGTGCAACGAGTCTGACTGCTCTATCTCAGCCCGTTGCTATGCGCGCTGTATACGTCATCGCGCCAGAAGGGCAAGGAAATGAGCATGCGCAGAAAGACCAGAATGAACTTAAAAAGGAATGAGCGTATACAAGTGCGAGAAATTCTTTCTTTAATCAGAATGGCCTTTCATTCTGAATTAAAGTGGAATTAAACTGTCCATGTAAACGTACTGACTGACGCAGTGCACACACATTCCCAGGCACTCATTTTTCAGGGCGAGATAAACCGAGTTCAACTTTTAGAACGCAGCAACGCCCACCGCATGTCACGTGACGAGAAACAACCAATCACAGCCGACAGATATCTTTCCCTTCTTCTGTAAATATTCAGTCTGATAAATACAGAAAAGTTGATCATGTTAGTGCAGGGCTGCCCAGAGCTTTACATCTGTCCCACGGACGATAGGCCAAACAGTTCCTGGAAGAAGATCAGCTCTGCACTCAGGATTTCAGGTAAATAGGCTATATGATGCTTGTTAAGGTTGCTTAGTAACCTCAGACACAACCTGCCGCCGCGCACTTGAAAGCTGGCGCAGAAAAGGCACAAGAGTAGCACCCAGTGCCGGACCTTGGGTTATCCAGGCAGTTAAAGACGCGGCATTAGCTTGAGGTCACACAGTTTAATGCATTCAGCGTCACACTTGTGTTTGGCCATGTCATCGAGCGAGTTTCCTGTCTCTGTCAAGTAGCTGTCACTCACTCTACAGCAGGAAACAACACTTCAAAATAAAAGCTCTGTGCTGGAAATTTACTGTACTTAAAATAAAGTGTGTTTTTTTTTTTTACAAACTTGACATGTTGGCAAGTCATTCACGGTCCATTCAGAATGGGCCTGCGACCAACTTCTGGTGGGTCACGGTCCAGCTCAACAACATGGCCAAACACAAGTATGAGTGAATGTATTAAACTGTGGGACCTCAAACTAATGAGTAAGGAGAAATCTGGACCCTGTGGCTGGACCGGATGGGAACCACTGATTTAAGATTAATAAATGTTTTTGAGATTTTACAATCTAAAATGTAAAACCTTCTCCTGCTTCGCATGTCTAAGCATTTTCATTAAGGCCTTATTTTAGATTAATGAATTCGATACCTTTAGAGACTTTATGAATCTGTGGAAATAGAGATGAATCAGCTCTGTGCGTGTGTGTGTGTGTGTGTGTGTGTGTGAGTGTGTGAGAGACACGTACCTTCATAAAGAGAGGGTTCCCATTTAACGACTCTGCTCTCTTGATGTTCTCCACACCACACTGAAGACAGAAAGGAAGACTGGTTGTCACATGTGTTCACATTATTGAAACCAAACATCCAAGTCAAACAGGCTAGATGTGAAAACCCCCCCGAGTTAACATTCATGTTGGAAATATATCGCTAAATCACGTTTAACATTAAAGATAAAGATGTCGAAAAAAAGTGTTTTCATTTTGTCAGTTCAGTGGTGTGTGTGTCGCCTGGTGCCTCTATCTTTGTGAGGGACAGTCTGAGGTTTCAACCTCTCACATGAGGACATTTTTGGCCAGTGAGGACGTGTTTGTAAAGTGAGGACATGTTTGGAGAGTGAGGACATGTTTGGAGAGTGAGGACATTATGAGATGGCGGGACATTTTGGGGCACTTTTTAGGGTTAGGGTTAGGGCTAAGGCTTGGGAAAGAATTAGGAATATTTGTCAGGTTTCTCACAAGTGTAGAAGTACAAACAGTTGCGTGTGTGTGTCTTTGTGGCACCGGTCACATTGATTAGTGGTCACCTCACTGGTGCCTTTACACAGAGAGACACACACACACGCACGCACACACACACACACACACACACACAGAGGACACACAGCTGCAACTGATAAATACACTTTTCCTAACTTATTAGAACACTTTACCTGCAGAATGACCACTTGTATATGAATTACTCACCACGTGTTACTTTGAAGCCATGAAGAACACTTTGTTTTTTCATGCAGGTTCCAAAAATCAAAGCATTCATTCATTTAACAGCAACACTATATCAAAATATTTGTTAACAAACTTTCACACAACTCCTGCTGTATAATCCAAGTCTCATTTATGCAGTCGTATGCTCAGTACTTCACAAACAGACAGCTCTACTGTGCTAAAAGTGAAACTTGTCTGCGGTCTCTTTAAGCCAGACTCCATTGACAAAAACAGCAATTTTACCGCACTGAGCGCATTGAGCTGTCGATCTATCGCTGCCTCCATCACTTACTTTGTCTGTGTTATTGTGTGACTTCGGTGAATCCAAACTAACCCTTTAAAACACCAAAGTTACACAATAAGACAAACTAACTAATGATGGAGGCAGCAGTAGACCAGCAGCTCCTGTGTTCAGTGCAGTAAAATTACTGCTTTTATCAGTGAAGTCTGGCTTTGAAGAGAGCTTCAGTTCAGTCCCTCGTCAGAAAGGGCTGTCTTTGGGAAGCACTGAGCATACAACTGGATAAATGAGACTTGAATTACTGGACGTTTTGATATAGTTTTGGTGTCATTAAATGCAGACCCTGATTACTTCAATTCATGAGGAATATTTGCCTTTTTTTGGATTCTCCGTTCACTGAGGAGGAATGCAAGAAAAAACAAATTTTCTTCTAGAATTCAAAGTAACACAGAGTGATGAACTGATAGTCAAATGGTCATTTTATGGGTGAAGTACCTCTTTAAACTCTGTGCCAAGTGTGCCATTCGATTTCAACACAAATGAACACGCAGCTGCTCTCCTGTCGTTAATTTCAGGTCATTTCTGCGATAATTAACCTGCAGAGACTTTAAGTTGCTATACACACAGCAGGTAATCCACCACAGTCATTTTATTTCTTTGTCACCATCATCATGTGGCAACATGTTTGAAAACAAGGACTGTTATTTAAAAATCTCGCTGCTGGTGCATTCAAGGTCACTCTAACTCTTAACGAGTTTTGGGTGTCCGCTGCTGAACAACAACCTTTTCAATTAAAGAAACCAACAGACTTTCTTTTCACAAAATACCTCTCACTTACTGTTTAATCTTCCCCATTGCTAAAGTATTACCGCTGTGCACACTAAAGCATGCAGCTGACTCAACAGCCTGGAGCTGCTGGGAAAGTGAACATGGAGTTTATCTTTTCCTTACCTCCTCCCCGAGCACCTGTCCATACTCGATGTCCAGCTCATGTAAAGTCTCTATGTGGTCGGAGGTGAAGGCGATAGGCACCAGCAGGATGTTCTTCTTCCCTCGCTCGCACAGACCTTTAATCACTTCGTCCGTCTGTGGGCCGAGCCACGGCATGGGCCCCACCTGAACGACCAGACACAAAGACATGAGAACAATTTAATTCCACTGCGGAGGAGATTTACGGCGCTGTTTTTGTGTTGCCAGAACATGGCAGATCTTCCACCTAGTCCAGCGCTTTGATACAGACCAAATGGTCCCCAGGGTGTCCTTGTGACCTTTCCTCTAACGCCACCTTTAGGACAAACTTCACAACTGTAGCCCCACGAAGGCTGTTAATGCTCTGGGAGCAATCAAATCACCAGTATGCTGTTCTGTCCAATACTTTCATATTGTGGTCGTAATGGGCACTGCAGCCTCCAGGGGGCACTAGAGGGACTAGAGACTCTTAGGCAGGATTTATACTTCTGAATTACATTGTTGTCATACCATATGTGTACCCTGCACCGTAGCCTGACGTGCACCTCCCCAGAAATGTAACTACACATCGTGGCGAAGCAGGCCTCCTGTCTGTCTCTGTAAGCTGACACCATTTCCCTCAGTGGAAACAAAGCTTTGATTTACTTTAATTTCACAGATAAGAAACAATAAACTGTTAAGACAGTAAAGCCTCCACAAAAAAAGCATCTCAAGTCTTGTGCGTGATTTATCCTGGCTTCATATGAGCAGAGGAAATCTCTGCTAGCTGCTAGGCTAATTTATACAATGTAAAATGCCATAGGCTTGTGCTAATAACGTTGTATCCTGTGTTACGTTCTACACACTGTATATATTTAGAGCAGTCTGAGTATTCCCACATGTCTGATATGTTGAACAGGTACCCAGCAACACTTCCCACCCGCCCTATACCGTGAACAGCTGATTGGCTGCTCCAATAATTCATGATATGTGACTTTTTGAGCTACTCAGACCAGCAGACTGAGAGCTTTGAGGTTTCCTAGCTGAAGTATTAGATGGACGAGTGGCGCCACCTTGTGGCAGCAACAGAAATTACACATTCTGTTACAGCTGACAAATGGGAAACTGAACAGTGTGTGGTTATACATATTTGTAGCTATATAGTTACAAACACTGTGGATATTTTGGAAAAAGAGAAAAGAAAACTAGTGATAGATGGCATTAGAAAGAGCTCCAGAGTGATAAACAAATCCTGCAGTGATCTACAGCATGAGTTTATGAATATTAACCACCCTGGGTTTGAACGTTTGAACGTGTCAGCGTGGGTTTCCTCCAGGTGCTCCAGCTTCCTCCCACAGTCCAAAGACATGCAGGTTAACTGGTGACTCTAAATTGTCCGTAGGTGTGAATGTGAGTGTGAATGGTTGTCTGTCTCTATGTGTCAGCGCTGTGATAGTCTGGTGACCTGTCCAGGGTGAACCCTGCCTCTCACCCAGTGTCAGCTGGGATAGGCTTCTCCCTCACTTACCCCAGCAAGCATTTTTTGGTTTAAAAAACGTCGACATGAAGACCTGATGTCTAGGCTAAATCACGGCTGAAATTGGGCTGTCAGTGAAAATTTGGAAGATGTCTAACCATAGCCAAAGTGTAGACATCATCAATTAAAAGGCTATGTAGAGACCATGTCCAAAAAATGGAGATAAACATATTTTAATTACTGTTGACTCTCCATACGTGATTGAATATCATACCGCACACCATCTGCAATGGCGAAAATTACATTTAATCAATTTAAAAATTAAATCGGCTAGATTTGGGTTACATGTAGCTAGACTAAATCGGAGCTAAATATGTTTAAATCACAACTATTGCTTGCTGGCTGTTGGTTGTCTGTGCCACTGCTATTCAGTTGTAGCAACCAACCACTAGATGGTACCACTGCTTTATTTAAAACACTGACGTATCAGTTCACAGTTTGTCTTTTGTTTGTGTGAGTGTGTGTGCGTACTCACCCTGGACTGCCACACTAGTCTGTAGGGGTTACAGTGTCCCAGTCTCTCCATGACTCTCTGAACTGTGGCTCCCACTTCCTGAGGATATGGGTCACCTCTGTTTACAACCTACACACAGGAGTAACACTGTCAATAGTACTCACAGTATCAGTATTAGTTTGACAAGTAGAAGTAACAGAGGGAAGAGACGCAGCTGCAACAGTAGGCATCGCAGTGTGTGCAGGTGACAGTGTTCGGCTTCACCCCCGTGACGCTGCCAGCACCTGGACAGGCAGGGATCTCCAGGGGAAGTCATGTAGGAGCCTTTTACTGATTTTCTGTCCACTTGGCACTTAATAATAGTTTTGTTTATATGTTTGTATGAGTATGTGCCCTCCACAGGTGCTGGCCTATAATAGGAGGAGTACGAGGAGAGGGCGTGGCTGACTGGGAGCACACACTGGCTCCTCTCCCCTTCTGATTTATTCATTAAGTTCATTTATACCTGCTGTTTTTATTTAACTAAGGCTCCCAAAGAAAATGTACGTAACCACTTAATGGTTGGAAGAAAACTACGTTATTTTGGAAACTTTTTTTAAAAACTCATCACCCAAGGGTCTAATAGACGAAAGATGACACACAGCTGGTTGAATATCACAAAGTTTCCCTGCTTCCCTTCACTGGTTCCTGTTCAGCAGGGTCAGCCTTTGTTTCACTGTTATAATCATTAACAAGCAAAAGCAGCATGTGTATACATTCAGTAGGCTATATCTTCAGTAGCTAGCTAGCTAACCCTACACTTTTCAGGGTTTGATTTGGGTTTTGAAACAGGGAAGAAACGTATATCTTCTATCTATCCATCTACGATAGTGATTGAGAGACGGAGGCTGGTAACAGTGTGACTGCTCCTGGTTGTATTAGTAGGAGGTGTATAAATAGGACTATCAGCATCTATCAGGATCAGCAGGAAGTAGCATCAGCACAAGTACGTACAGCCATGGGGAGCGAGTGTGCCGAGAACAGAATGACAACGTCGTCTCTCTTTTCTTCAGGGAACTTCAGCAGCTCGTTACTGATGTGTTCTGCAAAACACTGCGCACACACACACACACACACACACACACACACACACACACACACTGAACATTAGTTGTATTTCATGTTTTTTTCTGTTTTACTAAAATGCTGAAACTATAATTTTCCTCGTGGATATAAAAAGTTCCTGACTAATAGCTGCTTCGCACCATGAAAGCTCCATGCTGAGATCTAAAAATACAGCCAGGCTTGTGAGTTGCTACGATTACCAAGCAGGGCCACTTCGCTTTCAGCTCATTAGTTGCTATGACGACCTCTTGCCCTTGTCAATTAATTTTCCAACATTTGTTGTGTTTGTCCTCTCTGAGAGGAGGAGGGGTCTGACAGGAACTCTTATTTTACAGTGTGTACGTGTACATGTGTGTGTGTGTGTGTGTGTGTGTGTGTGTCTAACCTCCACCAGCAGAGGGTGTGTGGGCCAACGGTCGATGACACTCCAGCGCATTTTTGACCTGTCGCCTCTGTTGCTGTAGTAACGGTAGATTGCGTTCAGACTGCTGCCTGATGACACAAACAAACAAGGACATTAATATTATAAACATGTTCTGAGCTGTTTTCTTTCCAAAGATCAAAAAGAGAAGAGAAGAAAATATATTTCTTCTGTCTTTTAGACTTGTAAGACAGAGCTTTAAAACACTGCAGAGCTTAAAGAGACAGTTCACCCCCAAAATACACATTTCTCCTCCCACCTGTAGAGCTGTTTAGCAGTCTAGATTATTTTGGTGTGAGTTGCAGAGTGTTGGAGATATTGGTTGTAGAGATGTCTTCCTTGTCACTGAAATAATGGAACTAGATTGGCTTTCAAAATACATTTGAAAAACTCAACATCAACGTCTCTCTCCAGAAATCATGACCTGGTTCCTTAAGATAATCCACAGACCTTGTTCTGAGCAGATTCATGTAGGGACTATCGAACTACACCCGCCATCTGTATCACCCCCCAGAGGGAATCATGCATCCACTCATGGACGAGAGGCTCGTGCTCATGACAGCGTGAGATGTGAACATTAATGGCGTCCTTCTTAGCTGAGCTGTAACCTTAGCTAGCTCAGTGGTGCTAGGTGAGCTAACAGTAGATGCACACTTCCTCCTGCACTGTGACGTCACCGGACATCACAGCCTGCATTCAGCCAAATATCAACATAACGACGTTGGTGGTCAGCTGGGTTCCTTCTGCGTGGTGATTCGGTTGGCAGGTGTAGTTCTTAAGAAAGAATATATTCCTACATTAAACTGCTCACAACAAGGTCTGTGGATTATCTTGAGTAACCAGGTCATGATTTCTGCAAAGAGACATTGATGTTGAGTTTTTCAAATGTATTTTATTGGCGCTTTGAGCACCACAAGCTGAGAGAAGGCAGACATCTCTACAGCTGATATCTGCAACACTCAGCAACTCACACTGAAACAAACCAGACTGATAAATAGCACTACAGGTAAGAGGAAATATGTTTTTATGATTTTGGAGTGAACTGTCCCTTTAACTGCAAGACCCAGAAGATCATTACACAACACTTTCCCAGAGTCCTCACACTCTTCTACCAATCTAGTTGTAAAAAAGAAATTGTCAGCTGCACGACATAACAGATTTCTAACACATTTCCCAAGGTGTGACTCTGTGTCCTAATCCAAACTAAGATGGCAGCCAGTGGCTACCTGGACAGGAAACAGATAAACTTCTTGGGAAACAGGTTAAAATTGTTTTTTGTCGTGGTGCGTAGGTTACATTTGTTCATCCAGATGTTCAGAAAAGGCACTGAGGACTCTGGAAATATCCTCAGAACAGCGTTGCCTGACTGAGCAATCATATTTTTACTTTGGCTTCACAGTGAGTAATCAGAGCACTAATCTACAATGGGCAGGAAAAGGAAAAGCATCCAAGTGTTTACAGGCTGGGACAAGTTGAGATGATCACAATCAGGTGTTGATGTGTGAGAACAAAAACAACAGGCTGGAAAACTGTGATGAATCATAATGACATTCGCAACTGAAGCAAAATATGTGCAGACTTATCTTCTACAAATTATGTAGCATTAACTTGACGACTTGTACCTGATTATCTGCTGTTTTTTTGATGAATGTTGCCAAGTAGCTGGTTATAATGACATCCCAGCTTTTATGGGTGGGATTAAGAAAGATCCCATAGTGATTGTGTGTGTCTGAGTGAGTGTGTTTATCAGAGGGTAACAGGGTGGATAGCTCTCTGGGTGTGGTCACAACAGCCACAGCAGTCTTTTTTATCTCATAATTTTTCCTTTCATCTTTTATTTTCAATAAATTCAGCACATGTGATGTTTGAATATTTCGTTTCCTCTGTCTGTGCTGTGTGTGACCGTCACCTGTGGTGGAGCAGCTGTACTGAGGGTACTGCGTGAAGGCCACGGCTCTCTCCACTCCGTCTTTCTCCATCTCCTCAATGGCTTCCTCCGTCAGCGGGTGAACGTACCGGAAACCGATGTAGAACTTGTGAGGAGCTGAAGACAAAGACAGTCAACTGTCAATCTTTGCTGTTTGAGTAAAACAGCCATAAAGAAGAGACCGCCGTTTGTGTTGTTATCAGTGAGGTGTGTGTGCAGGCGTGTGACCAGACACTCCTTAACTGAGTCACTATCTACACTTCACACACACTTTGCTGCGAACAACAGAGGGCTGTGTTATGAAACGGTTTTGACTTTCTCTGTGGGAGCTGGCTCGACAAATCCTAAAACCCCAGTCACAGATAACAGGGATGTACTTTTTATTAAAATGTCCTCTATTTATGCTGATTTCTTTTGGCTGGACGAGTATGAGAAACTTGAGTTGTGTTTTAGAAAGGGAATCTTTTTTGTTGCAGATTTTATTTGTAAAGCGTGGGAGAGAAGGCAGAATATTCTGTTCAAAGTCTGAGCCGTAAAAAGGGGCTGTAATTATGTATGAAATGAAAAAAAAAATAATAATAATAATGTATACTGCAACTGTACTTTTTTTTGGTGTCTTATAAACCCATGAGGGTTGGGCACTTTGTGCATGACACATAAATAAAAAATAATCAATCAATAACAGGCATCATTATGGTCGTTATCAACTTGCTACGTTAACTCAAGCTTTCTACTTCTGCAGGCACTCCCATAAAGGCGGCATTTCGCGCGTTATTAAACTCTTCTACCACCTGAAATGGATCAATGGTGTGCAGCCTATTTCCAACTATATATAAAACAATATAAAAAAACACAGTTGCTGCAAATAAGGCGAATTAAAGTGAAATAAATCTTATTATTTGAATATTATCTGTGATAAAAACCAATAGGCTTATCAATTTTCTAACCAATCTTGCTTTAATATAACAGTGATGTAAAACAGACTTCAACACATCAGGACCAGCCATTAAAACATGACTCAAAGCGGTGACATTACGGTGCTTTAAAGGAATGATACCGCATTTCATATGCAAGTAAACATCCTCCCAATTAATAATATAGTGAACTATTAATGTATGCTACCTGTGATTTATGAGACGGCTTCTTTTAGAGCCAGTGTGGGCAGATGGACCAGAGAACACTACACACATTCAGTAGTTCAGCAAGAATAACCTTGCAAATTGAATAAGACAGACTTTCTGCATCACTAATATAGATTCCAGTGGCAAAAGATATTTATATATGATGATACATGCAATACGCTTTACTGTAACTCTTTATTCAGTGGCTTTGCTGATCTAAAAAGTTTGCATTTATGACAAATCACCTGTATCACTCACAGATCGACTACTGACTGAGTGACCCTATTTCCAAAGGAGCCTTTTTGGCCTATTTCAAGATGAAACTCTGAACATAACCTGGTCGGGACCAATTTAGGTGTGCAGCATAACTTACCATGCATGACATGATCCTTATTCAACATCCCACACTGCATTCCAGGACGAACATTGCAATCAACCAATCACAGCCCTCTGACATCATCAGTGTGCTGCTCCTGTGCGACTTTCAACATTCCTTTGTGCTTCTTCAGAGCTAAGCTAGTTTTCCACATTGTAGTGTGGAACCTTGTAACCTACTAGAGGATTAGGGAGTTAGCTTGCTCACTAGGTCAGCTATGCTAACAAGTAAGCTTGTCAACAGGCTTGAACATTAGCAAGTTAGCTTACGAAGTAGGTCTGCTATGCTAACAAGTAAACTGTCCACTTGTTGGCCTTGTTTACACAGATACCGATACAAATAAAAACAGATTTTTATTTATCCCGTATTAAAAAAAAACTCCAGGTTTACATGATCAGTTGTGAAAACGATATCTCTGTTTGCACGAAAATGCAAAAACGGCAGCTTTTTGCTGCAGTTAGCATGCCAGGCCAGTAGGTGGCAATACGCCATATGTCAAACACCACAGAAGAACGTTCTGCGCATGCACAGTGATTTGTTTTCTTCTTGGCACTAGTGATAAAAACAATAGCTATGTTTCCATCCAAAAGTGATTCGAATCACTGGAAAATGCGCATTAAAAGAAATACAAATCCTGTGTGTTTCCATTAAATGTACGGACTTTGGTGAAAACTAAGAACTAGCGAGAGTTTTCCGCAGAACTGGAAACAAAACAAGTCTTGCATTCTTCTTCTACGTTTTCTGGTTGTTGGCAACCAGCTTGTAAATGCATTACCGTCTTCCTGACCCGGAGTGTGGATATCACCATGGAGAGAGGTGCGCTACGTCAGACTTAATTCGAACTGTTTCCATCCCCCGTTTTGTGAATCAACATTTTTTCGAATCAACCCAAACCCGGCTAAAGTGAGCGTATTTTAGTTTGTGTGAATCAGGGGATTTTAATTAGAATTTTGGCGTTTCCATCATAATTTTCCGATGCGATACTTCTAGATGCGCATCTAAACAGGCTGATGGAAACATGGCTAATGATAAACTACATTTTAAACTTATATAGCATAGTTAGCTGCTATGCACTTACTAATATTGGGCACAGCAGACGCCTTTGTGCGCCGATGTAGTGGTGATGTTGATGCAGCGGTGCTAAGTTCATTTGTAAGCTCGTAAGTAGTCCCAAAAATGCTAACAAAACGTAAACAACCCGGCATATATCCGCCATTGTTGTTGTGGTTCCCGGGCACCTAATGGCCATGCACAAACTGGGTTGCAACGTCATTGTTTTCTGTTTACACATCTCCACAGAAACGGATATTTCTAAAAACTTTCACTTTGGAAGCTGTTTTTGAAAATCTCCGTTTTCGTCAAGAAAAACGCTGGTTATGTGTAAATGATAAGTGGAAACACAAAGATAAATACCAGTTTTCAGAAATATACGGAACCGTATCTGTATCTGTCCTCCCTGATAATTAACATCTAATCCAAGGCCTGCAGGACACTCAGCCCTCTCACTCCTACCATCATTCAGTTTAATTGGAGAGTTTGACAAACAGGACCACTGTGACCCTCCCTGCCTGTTAAGTGGTGGTGCAGACACACTCTGGGTCTGTCTCACCTGTCTCAGGACTCATCTCATCTAGCAGCTTCACCATGCCCTCTCCCTGCATGGAGGTCCAGTGTTTGATGGGCGAGCCTCCTCCGATCTTACTGTACTGCTCCTGGATTTTTGGCGTGCGGCGCTTGGCGATGAACGGGCCGAGCTTACTGCAGAGCAAGGGACAGACTGAAGAGTTACAACTACTACAAACAAAGACTTTATTACAGTGCAATATTACCTCCTAAATTTTCTGATCCGACTGTAGCTTCAGTCTGAGACCTAAAGACTTAGTTTTGTTACTAATGTTAGCTTGTCAGGTTAGCTTGTAAGATTACTGTTAGCTCCAGCAGCTAATGTTAGCTTGTGAGATCACTGTTAGCTCCAGCAGCTAATGTTAGCTTGTGAGATTATTGTTAGCTACAGCAGCTAATATTAGGTTGTCAAGTTAGCTTGTAAGATTAATGTTAGCTCCAGCAGCTGATGTTGCCTTGTGAGATTATTGTTAGCTACAGCAGCTTATATGGTTTTGTCATGTTAGCTTGTAAGCTTGCTGCTAGGTACAGCAGCTAGTGTTAGCTTGTGAGGATACTGTTAGTTCCAGAAGCTAATGTTAGTTTGTCATGTAAGCTTGTGAGGATACTGTTAGTTTCAGAAGCCAATATTAGTTTGTCCTGTTAGCTTGTAAGACTGCTGCTAGCTACAGTGGCTAGTGTTAGCTTGTAAGGCTACTGTTAGTTCCAGAAGCTAACATTAGTTTGTCATGTTAGCTTGTAAGATTGCTGTTAGCTACAGCAGCTAGTGTTAGCTTGTGAGGATACTGTTGGTTCCAGAAGCTTATGTTAGTTTGTCATGTTAGCTTGTGAGGCTACTGTTAGTTCCAGAAGCTAACATTAGTTTGTCATGTTAGCTTGTAAGCTTGCTGCTAGCTACAACAGCTAGTGTTAGCTTGTGAGGATACTGTTAGTTCCAGAAGCTAATGTTAGTTTGTCATGTAAGCTTGTGAGGCTACTGTTAGTTCCAGAAGCTAACATTAGTTTGTCGTGTTAGCTTGTAAGATTGCTGCTAGCTACAGCAGCTAGTGTTAGCTTGTGAGAATACTGTTAGTTCCAGCTAATGTTAGTTTGTCATGTTAGCTTGTAAGATTACTGTTAGCTCCACCAGCTAATGTTATCTTGTGAGGATACTGTTAGCTCCGGCAGCTGCTGTTAGTTTGTCATGTTAGCTTGTAAGGTTACCGTTAGCTCTTTTTAGAAAATCACTGTACACTTTATTCCAGGGCTGGTCAGCCATCTTTGACCTTTCGTAGGCCAGTCATTGATATTTGTTCATTTATAAAGCCATACTGTGTAAACTCCCCTACATTAGCACTTTGACTGAACAGAGATCTGACTGTACTACAGTCTGAGATCTCAAGACTTAGTTTTGTTGTCTGCTCCTCATGCTCAGACTGAGCTGGGAAAGAAAGCTTTTACGTGCTGCTATCTTGTCCACATCTGCTGGTTAAATATGGGTTAAATAAATAAATAAAAATAGAATTTGGTTTTAAAACCAAGATACTGGACAAATTAACATTCTGACTCGATGATGGCGGCAGATTAAAGGTCAGAGGAGCATCAGATTACTGCATCTCAACCTGAGGGGGGCATGCATATCTGTACATGGCAATCAGTTTATTATTTCACACGACCTGACTGTCAGGACAGCTACACCAAAATGTCTTTGGGAATTACACACAGATTGCTCCTGTAACATCAACATACAACTAACAGTCATGTAGAAAATCATATGTGCTGCGATGAAATCATTATTCTGGGTTATCATCTGACCTAAGGTTCCCAGATTACCCTGAGGTGGTCAACAAGAATGTTTCCTTTCTTTTATTTACTCTATTTTTCTTGTTTCTGCTTCTGAAACACTGGATACTTTCATGTCAGATGGGAAAAACCCTTTTGGTTGACCTGCTTCTAACTCACAATCACTCTAAAACCATAACCTGTGACGCTGGGTCACAAGAAAGTCATTTTAAGGAGTCCAAGCCAAAGAAGGTTTGGGAAAGACCACTTTGAAAGGATTGGTGTCGCTCAGAGTTAACGTTAAACTGAAGCGCCACAGAGTTTTTTCTCCTCAGCAGCAACAAGAAACACTCTGCTGGTTGGGTTATTATGAAACAGACAAACAGAGCATAGCAGAGCACCATGAGCTTACAGTCTTCCCCATTTGCTCTCATGTTTGTCAACCCAACAAAACTGTAATATGTATCCACGTAAATACAAATTGTTAAAACTGTTCATAGTGTGTTTGTGTGTGTGTACAGCCTATGATTTATAGAGGCTATCAGAGGTGCTTTCCAGACTCCATTTGCAATGTTATTTTCAGCTGTAAAAACAGCAAGTCCAATCCCCAAACAAACACACACTAAATGAATGTTACACTTGTGTATCAACCAGCTGCTGATAACTGTGATATCTTTTTCCAATAAACTGGCAAAGACTTGGGAGATGGTGATGTCAGTCCCTCTTGGCCCAGAGAAAGATAACAAAGGCACAAACTGAGAGTATGTCCATGGTACATACTTCTGTACAGGGAGTTTCATCAGGTCTGTGTCCATGAAGAGCCGCAGCAGGAAGTCGTGAACGTCTTCTAGTTTCTCGGGTCCTCCCATGTTTAACATCAAGATGCCCGTCTTAGGTTTCCTGCGGGTACAAGAGATTCATAATCAATAATTCATGTCTGACAATGCCTCAACTCCCTGCAAAAATATGTGGATCTTATTGATTATTGATGATGGCTAATTAATGAGTCTTCCTACGAATAACTCTCACAATATATTGATTTATATCTGCTAATGCACGAATTAATAGTAGATTATTGATTGCTAATGCCATTATGCTAGCACAAAAAGTAATTTGTATAATATGGATGTTTCCATACAGATATGATTTGTTGTTCATTAACAGCTCTAAATGTCTTGTCAGCCTGTGAAATGAACATATGTTAAGGTAACAAATGTTAGCTTGTTGTATCAGACTGTGGCGCTAACATTAACTACCACCCAGTGTTAGCTTGTTATGGCAGCTTGTGAAATAACAACAGCTAATGTTTCCTTTTATTTCTTGCAAGGAAAAGCAGCAGAGCAAAGACACACAAAAGCTAACTCTAGCAGCTATTAGTTTGTCATGTTAGCTTGTGAGATTATTTTTAGCTTAAGTAACGTTAGCTAATGTTAGTTTGTCATGTTAGCATGTGAAATTATTGTTAGCTCCAGCATCTTATGTTAGTTTGTTGTGTTAGCTTGTGAGATTATTGTTAGTTCCAGCAGCTAATGTTATCTTGTGATACTATTAGCCCCAGCAGCCAATGTAAGTTTGTCAAGTTAGCTTGTCAGATTACTGTTAGCTCCAGCAGCTAATGTTAGCTTGTGAGGACACTGTTAACTCCAGCAGCTAATGTTAGTTTGTCAAGTTAGCTTGTTAGATTACTGTTAGCTCCAGCAGCTAATGTTAGCTTGTGAGGACACTGTTAGCTCCAGAAGTTTGTTAGTTTGTCATGTTAGCTTGTGAGGATACCATTAGCTACAGCAGCTAATGTTAGTTTATCAGATTAGGTTAGCTGATTACAGTTAGCTCCAGCAGCTGATGCTAGTTTGTCATGTTAGCGTGTGAGATTAGTGTTAGCTACAGCAGCTAATGTTAGTTGTCATGTTAGTAAGATTACTGTTAGCTCTATCAGCTAATGTTAGTTGCCATGTGAGTTAGTAAGATTGCTGTTAGCTCCATTAGCTAATGTTAACTTGTGAGATTAATGTTAGCTGTAGCAGCTAATGTTAAGAATGTTGGCTTGTAAGATTACTGTTGGCTTCAGCACTTACTATTAGCTTGTGAGGGTACTGTTAGCTCCAGTAGCTAATGTTAGCTTGTAGAGCAGCTTGTGTTTTACTGAAGCAGTATGTGTTAGCTTTTTCTCTCAGTCTATAAAGGTAACATTATCTTAAGTAGCTAATGTCTGCTTGTTGTGTCCTCGTATGAAATGTACCTTACCTACAGCAGCTATTAGCTCATGGTGTAAGGTTGTGAAATAACTTTGGCACAAGCAGCTAATGTTTGCTCGCTCTGTCTGCTTGTGAAGCCAACTTCGGTGCCACCAGCTAATATTAGCTTGTCAATAAGTTCTGATGGGTGTTGTAATGCTTTCTGCTGTGCACTACATCACCAGTGCAGATTCACACACGCACAGCTCTGACATCTGCTTGTTTTAACCCTAAAGAATCTGCTGTCTCGTTCGCCTTATTGTTTCGTTGTCAACTTCAAAGGGTAGATAAGAGCCAAAAAACCATGAGGACAGAGATGAGAAGGATTGTGTAACAAAAGACATCAACAGGAAGCACAGACTGCCAACACATGGCTGGCAACAATCACCATTGTCACAAGTCAACCGTATTGTAGTTCTACAAAGTTTTTCGACATGTGGGTCCTTTTTTTGTTTGTCTCATGCACAGGCAGAGGACACACATGTACTTGCACGTAGCTGATGTGATGCACATCGCTGCCGACAGTGTCACAGTGTTCAACAGATCTACAGGTTGCACCAGTGTGCCAGGAAATGCAGAAATGTGTCAGCTTGCCAGTGAAGAGGAAGACTTCCTTCAAGTAAACATGTAAACAATGCTGGTTCTTAACTTTAAGAAACTATGCATGTGGCCTACACTGCTGTGAGCATTTACACAGGTGCAGTGTTGTGTCTCTGTCACTTTGCAGGTACACCTCCAAAACACTAGTCTTTGTCAACGTTTTTGTGAGGTCTTGTTAAGTTTAGTTGATTCAAAACACTCAGTAAACACACATTAAACACACATTAAACATGGCTTAATAGAGACAATTTCAAACACAAGAACACAAATCAGCTTCACTATAACTCGCAGCATTCACAGACAAACACTTGTCTTTATCTGGACACATTTTCCCCACAAATACAACATGCTAATGTTTTTAGCAAAAGCCTATGATATTTTACATTGTATAAATTAGCCTAGCAGCTAGTGGACTCTACTCATATAAAACCAGGGACAACAGCAACATTTAACATATGTTACAAAGGTCTGCGTCGTTGTGACGTGTAGTTACATTTCTGGGGAGGTGCATGTCAGGCTACGGTGTGTACCTACATCAATGCAGAGCCTATGTGATAGGTACAGCTTTGATTTGACGCAGAAGTATAAATCCTGCATAAGGGACAACTTCTGAACAGAGAAAGCAAACGAGCTTGATGACATGGCCAAACACAAGTATGATGTTGAATGTGTTAAACTGTGTGGACCTTGAACTAATGACTAAGGAGAAATCTGGACCATGTGGTTGGACCAGTTGGGAACCACTGCTTTAGTGGGTAAAATGGAGGCTATGGAGGCTGGAGAGACTGTTTTTACAGAGGAGAAAAGAGAACTGATAGAGAGCGTCATCACATGGAGCAATGACAAACACCTCAAGCTCATTATCAGCCAAATGAGCCAAAGGATGTGGTGGACTATCAGAGGAACAGGAAGCCAGAGAACAGGGGAAGTCAAGGGGGTTGACCTTTTGGAAATAAAATGTCAGAACTTCATCATGTTATCCTTTTAGACATTTGTGTGAAAGTTTATAGTAATTGGTCTATGAATTCTTGAGTTATGACCAAAGACGTGGTATCTTCTGTTTGTTTGTTTAGCAGCAGCTGGAGCCAACAACTCCGGACAAAGACCAGACGACTGACGGACAACGGCACACAGGCAGCTAACAGCAGGCTATTGTCTTGTGTCTGACAGTTGTGTGTGTGTCACCTGTTCTCCTGTGTTTCTGGAGTCGCAGTCTGGGCTAAAGCAGCAGCAGTGGAGCGTCTCCTGACACTCAGACTGACGCTGCTCCTGGCAACTATAACAAAAGAAGAAGAAGAGGGGTTATTCAGTCAAGTCAGTATTACTGGGCATGCACAGTTTTTTCCATCACCTTACATTCGTACATTTCAAAGCTTTCACCCTCTGAAACGTCTCTTAGTTTTCAATTAATACAGTGCATCTGATTTTGTGTCAAATCTTGAGCTCTTCCTTTAACCTCACAGAGACATCGCTGCATCACAGTTTGAGTCTGATATGTCTGAAAAACGCCGGGCAAGTAGGGCAAGAAAAACATGTTATCGAGGGTCCTTGAAAAGGGAACATTTGTAATTTTGTCCATGAAAAGGTGTGAGAACCCTGCTGAGGTAAAATTGTGTCTCTTTGATGTAATTTTTGGTCATTTTGTGTCTCATTGTAGTTGTTTGGTGCCTCTTTCTAATCGTTACATGTCTCTTTGAGGTCATTTTTGGTTGTTTTGTGTCACTTTGTAGTCATTGTGTGTCTCTTTGACGTAATTTCTTGTCTCCTCTGATCATTTTGTGTCTCCGTGTGGTTGATTTGTGTTACTTTAAAGTCATTCTGTGTCTCTTTGACATATTTTTTGTCTATTTTTGGTCATTTTGTGTCGCTTTGTGTCTCCTAGCAGTTGATTTATGTCTCTTTGTTGTTGTTTTGGGTCTCTCTGTAGTCCTTGTGTGTCTTAATAATAGTATTTTTTTCTCATTGTGGTTGTTTTGTGTCTCTCTGTTGTAGTTTTTTTGTTGTTTTGTAGTTATTTTGTGTCACCTTGTGGTTGTTTTGTGTTTCTGTAAAGTCATTATATGTCTCTTTGAGGTATTTGTTGTCTTTTTTGGTGATTTTGTGTCACTTTGTAGAGATTTGTGTCTCACTGTGATTGTTTTATGCCTCTTTCTAATCATTATGTGTCTCTTTGAGGTCATCTTTGGTTGTTTTGTGTCACTTTGTAGTCATTAATGGTCTCTTAAAAATATTTTTTTGTCCGTTTTGCACTACTTTGCAGTCATTTATTGTCTCCTTGTGGTTGCTTTGTTTCTCTTTCTGGATGTTTTGTGTCTCTGTAGTCATTTTGTGTCTCCTTATGGTTGATTTGCATCTCCTTGTGCTTGTTATGTGTTTCTTCAAAGTCATTCTGTGTCTCTTTGACGTATTTTTGGTCATTTTGTGTCTCTTTCTTGATGTTTTGGGTCTCTCTGTAGTTCTTGTGTCTCTTTTAAATCATTTTTTGTCTATATTGGTAACTATGTGTTACATTGTAGTCATTTGTGGCTGTTTTGCCCATTTTTGTAGCTATGACATGTCTCTTTGCATCTCTTGGTGCCCTTATTTGTGTCTGAGGTCATTTTGAGTCTCTTCCTGGTTAGTATGTGTTAATTTGGGTGACATTTTGCAGGGGGCACCTGACACTTTGGGGCCCTGGGCTTGTGCACGGTATCTATCCATACATGTTAATAATCTTATACCAAAAGTTAGCCTGATACATGTAGTGTCTTTGGAGGATCTTCACCACAATTTAAATTAAATGTGTGTCAGTTTCAACAATGTTTGCCCAACTGACATAAGATTGATAAGAAGGATGCAACAAAGTACAGTAGCATCATGAGTTTCTGACACTAAAATGACCTCTTTCATGAAGTCACACTACAAGCCATTAAGACACTTTAATAATTGTCAACACTGCGATCAGAGTCAGTGTCTGAAATAACAAAGACATGTGTCCCAAGCTACAGAGGACACACAGAAACCAGTATCTCCTGATTTATGTAAATCCACAGTCTCACAGATGAAGTCCAACAGTCTAACAGTCAGGGCTGCAGTACCTCAAAGCGCCACCAGGAGGCCCGCTGCGATTATGCAAGTTCAAAACACTGGAGTTGTGTAACTCCGAATTTTAAGTTCTTTATCACTCGCCGTGAAAACGCGCCGTTAACGGCTACGTGTAATATTTACGGATCCTCTGCCTGTTACTAAATGCAGCATAAGCCCGGGATAAGTCCATTATGTAATATTAACATTAAACTGTAACCTACAGTAATGCTGGTCTGCGTCAAAGCAGCGGGAGTTAGCAACGGGCTAGCTACGGAAACAGTGCCATTTGTTTAAAAAATAAAAGCACGTCAACGGTGGCCTTTTAACAATTATTAGGAATTCGCGAAGACAAAATGGCAAAAACTGACAAGGATAATGACATCGTTATTGTTAATGCAAGATTAAAGAAATACTTAAGCTTTAAACGCCATTAATACTGCGAATTAGCGCGTCAGAATTCCGTCAAGGATTTTATTGTGAAAATCCAAACAGGATGCTGAGCTTCCACATCCTCGCTAGCTTAGCGCCCGTTTACGAAATGATGATGCCAATGTCAGCGTGTTGTTGAGTTTACTCTCCAACACCGCCGCTCCGTTACTCCAAACTGCCTTCTAACTGTTCTAAATAAACACACTAACACAGTTTACTCCGTCACATTACATTCCGAGCTGAACCATGAAACTTGCAGTTTTCTCGTGCCAGCTTTGACCAGGCTAACTTAGCTCACAGTCACACTCACATTGGATCAAGCGACCGGCGCTGCCCAGGACTGCCATCATGGTAACTTCCTGTTTTTGCCGCCGATTAAAGTCTCTGTTTCCGCCGCAGTGGAGGCCGGATAGTTGTGCTTTAAGCGGCTGCTTCCACGAGTGCCCCCCTCACTGAGTGACCCGCTGGACAGACCGATGTGTCAGCCAGATTCCTTCAGCTTCCACCAGCTGGCTGCACGGATTCCTGGAGTGTCAAGTTTGTGGCGATATCTATCGTACTTCCGGTTCTCGATTTCACAATAAGAGCACTCATGGCGAAGGTGGGATGATGGAGCATTTTTAGATACGTTTTGGATTTATGTAAAAATGCAATTTTTTTTTTTTTTTATCACACATGGTTTAGTATTGGTATACTGAAAGTTTTCCAGTTGCTTAGTTAAAATTATGGAGGCACGATACGAACTCTTGCATTATAAATTGGAAATTAAAATGCAAATTATTTCTTGTTTCTGTTTTGAGTTTTTGTCTTTTTTATGTTGTGTTGATTTTTTGTTGCCTACGTATCTGTTTGTATTTCTATAAATATAATAGTTTGGGGCGTCGGTGGCTTAGTGGTAGAGCAGGCGCCCCATGTACAAGGCTGTTGCCGCAGCGGCCCGGGTTCGACTCTGTGGCCCTTTGCTGCATGTCTCTCCCTCTCTCTCCCCCTTTCACACTTCACTATCCTATCAATTAAAGGCAAAAAATGCCCATAAAATTTTATTTTCAATTTAATGCACCTTTGTATTCAGTAATATGTAATTACTGATTTCGTATTTTCATTTGTCTTTGATATTGATTTTTTTACGCACTTTTACTGTACTTTTAAAATATATTTTCAAAAAAAAAAAAAGTTTATGAATGTTTATTTTCACCATATCTTTTTATTTATACAAATTTCATTGGGGAATTTTTCCATGCTTTTATTGTGGATACAATTTTGTTTCATTTCCGGTCTGAAGCCAACTCACTCTGGTTCGCTTGACGCAGAGCCGTTATCTTAGTATGACGTCACAGCTACGTTTGCCTAAATGATGAGATAACCCCGCCCCCGCTCGTGCCGGTCACGCCCACTTTAGAAAGTGTGTGTGTGTGTGTGTGTGTGTGTGTGTGTGTGTGTGTGTTCAGAGATAGCTTATCAGTGCTAACAGTCACTGTTTAACCCCGTTTGTGGTTCTGGTGGAAAAGAAGAAGATAGAGGCAGGAGGGATGGAAAGAAAGAAAGACAAAAAAAGACAGAAAGTAACGGGAGAAAAGGTAACTGCAAGTAACGAGAGTACATCAATGACGGACGGGTGATGGGTTTGGTTGTAAGAATTAAACAGAAGATGTTTTAATGAACTGTAGTTGATGCAATCTGGATTCAAACCGCTTTGTGAAAATGAGATGTGTGAACAACATTGAAGCACTAACCTGTAAAACTGTCTGCTCATATGAAGTTAACATGAAGTTAAAATAAAATAAAATAAAACAAAACAAAACAAAACAAAACAAAATAAAATAAAAAAACAGAACAAAATGAAATAAATAAAAACAAAAAGAAAAGACAATAAAAAATAAAAAAGAACAAAATACAATGAAATAAAATAAAATAAAGTAAAACAAAACAAAAACATAAATATATAAAAAAATATACTGAAATAAAATACAACATAAAATAAAATACATTACAATTAAACAAAATTAAACTAAATAAAAAAATAAAATAAACTTAAACAAAATAAAATAAAATACAATACAATATATGAAACAAAACAAAATAACATAAAACTAAAATTAAGTTAAATAAATAAATAAAACAAAACAAGGTGTTGTCAAGCAGGGCAGAACATTTTCACTAAATAAAAGCAGCACTTCTTGTGAATCTTGTAAAGAGAAATCATTTCTCTTCCTGGAGAACATTTCCTTGAGCAGGTTTTTACAGAAGCTGTTGTTTTGTAAAAACCTGCTCGGTTCCTTTGAAATGAGAGTTTGTTTCCTTCTTTGTTTCAAAACCACTTCTTGAGAATGAAGAGGCGCTGAAGAGGAACCAGGAACTGTTTTTAACCAAACACACAAGCCAGACACAAAAGAAGGCCCTCATGTACGCAAGAAGCACCTGTCTGTCTGCTGCCTGTCTGTCTGCCTGTCTGTCCTCACAGCAGAGACAGTGCTGCTCCAGCGTGTCAGCATGGTTTCAGTATTTCTATAGAAGTCGTGGTCTCTCCCACTCACATCATGGTACCACTGTCAGTTATTGCAGAGCAGCAGCACCTAGTGGCCATTAGCGGAACTGCAGCTTCACTCTGCTGCTGTTGATAACAAGGTGCTGCAGGGATGATGCTTTTATGAAACCTATGTTTTATTCAGCAAGATAAGCTGTCAGTGTGTCGTTATTTGATTTACACATCTGGAAAGCCGTGGGAGGAGGGTTACACTTATTAAATCCAACACTGACTCCATGAGTCACTGAGTGATCATGAACCAGACAGCTTCCTTATGTACATAAACCTTAGACATTACATTTTCTATGACTAATTAACTTTTTTTCATACAAAAATAACTCGTAGTATTAATTACCAAACATTTATGTAATTTGCAGTTTATGGGACATTTCTTACCAAGTTGCTCATTGCCTTTTCCCCCTTGTCTTTAGATTGGTAGAAAAAGATTTCCGCACACTAACGTTGATGCAGTGTTTCACAACTGCTGATGTTTTCAGCACCTTGCTAAGACTGAGCCGGGTGGAGCGAGTCTAAAAAGAATAGTGAGAATGAATAGTGAGAAACAAAAAGGAAATGACCTGAGAAAGTGCTTAAAAATTACAATAATTCTGTACCACAATTTTAAATATGTAGTATCCCCTGGTTTTTATAGTTAAAATAGTTTTCTAAATCTTTTTTTTTCCAATTTATGTGACATTTCTTACCAAGCTGTCCATAGCCTGATCTAACATAAACAAGGAAATGACCTGTAAAAGTGCAATCATTCTATACCATAATTTTAAATACGTAATAATAAATAATATTAATAGAAACTTTCACTAGCTATTTTCTTCCATAGTTTTTGTTTTAAAATATATTTTTTTTGGCAATTTATGGGACATTTCTTAAAAAGATGCTCATTATGTTTTTTCTCTAGTTTTACAAAAAAAGAAATAAATTACCTGAAAAGTGCTTAAAATTTACAATAACCATAATTTTAAATATGTAATAATAATAATAAAACAATTTTTTATTTTTTCCTTGCTTTTCCCCCCCTTGTTTTATTTTATTTTTTTTTAAATTTCTTTGCAATTTACAGGATATTTCTTACCAAGCTGCTCACTGCCTTTTCCCCCATGTTTTTTGAAAAAAAAAAGTAAAAAAAAAAACGGAAATGACCTGAAGAGTGCTGAAAAATTCTGTATCATAATTTTAAAATTGTAATAATAATAAAATCAATTTTATTTTTCCCTAGTTTTTTTCCCCTTAGTTTTTGTTTATTTATTTATGTTTTAAAATTCTAAATCTTTTTTTTCCCCCAATTTGCATTTTATGGGACATTTCTCATTACCTTTATTTATATATATATAGTAAAAAAAAAAAATAAAATGATCTGAAAAAAGGGCTCAAAATGATTCTGTGCCACAATTTTAAATATGTAATAATAATAATTATATATGTAATTTTTCCCTGGCTATTTTTCCCCTAGTTTTTTTAAAAATACTTTTCTAAATCTATTATTTTTTTTGCAATCTGTGGGACTTTTTTTTTTTTTTTTTTTACTAAGTTACTCATTGCCTTTAAAAAAAGAAATCGCACTAATTAGCTCAGGGTCAAAGGTTTAAATACTTGTGAAAGGCGTCTGAAAGCAGCTCAAGAAAACTGATGTCACTCCATGCTTCAAGGGGTTAATAAAATATGAAATATTGAGGAAAAAGGTTGGGAACCACTGTCCTGTGACATCATGAACTGGAGTTTAAGCTCTCTCTTTATTCTGTTTGGGAGAGTTGCTCATGTTAACTAATTTCTTTGAACTGTCTTAGACCACAGGAACATGTATGGATTTTGAAAATGGCCATAGTTCCCCTTTAAGTATCACTCTTACTTCGTTTTTTGGTATATTTCTATCAGATACATATTATTACTAGGAAGTTGCTAATGACATTAAATCCTCATCAGGTGACTTGATATAAGCCAACGTTTAAAGACCGGCCTGACAACGTTTGGCCTGAAAGGAAACCACGCCATCCAAACACCTAACACACCCAACACAAAGAAAACCCCTCACACACCAGCAGTTTGAATCACATTTATTTAAGTGCAGTTTATTGAGTATTTCAGATGAAGAGGCAGAAAGTACAAACATGATGAGGCCGACGCCTACGTCACACGTCTAAACCACTGATGTCAGTCTGATGAGTTATATTTCCACCTCTGGTCTCCAGACCCAGCTGTTTCTCTCAGGTAAGAAGTCAAATGTTCCCACGTACACAAAAAGTGCACAAAAGCAGCACTGACGAAAGTAAACGTTACTCAACCACCAAATAATGAGCGGAGCGGAGTGTGTGATTCAGACGCACTGTGTCTTTACATCAAACCTAACGCACAGAGTACATCAGAGTCCACAGGCTGAGCCACAGGATTCTTTTCCTGGATATCAAAGGGACGCAAATGTTTTGTAACCATTTTCCTACAGACGTGCATTCAGAGAAAATAAATGAAAACCTTATTTGGTGATTATGAGTTTCATATCTCCGAATTATGAGAACTGAACTTCACTTTACAAATAAGCTGTGAGGCAGAAAACCTAAGATCTAAGATCTTTTTGGTGCAACTGACAATGGACGAAATACCAGAGAAGGAAAATCAGCTGCTTTATATGTAAAAAAATCCAAAAGGAATTAGCAAACATAAACTTAAAAATGTATATTTATGAGGCTTTAAATTAATTTTCATTTTTAAGTTTATGTTTACAAACTCCTCTGGACAGTAAGTTGAAGAGGAAAACTGAATTTAAGGAGGAGGAGCTTTTACTCAGCAGACCACATTTGAGACACGTTTGCAGTATTTCCAGGACTTGTGGACACTCACAGGAAACTAATGTTTATTACTGGTTAAAAGATGAGCTGGTGAGTGTGAGCAGAGGCAGGACCATCTGATTCAAGCCAGAACAAATGGGAAGGAAGCTGTGACGGCGCAGCAGACGGCGTCTCTAACTGTGCTGAGGTCTGATACAGAAAATAAAAATAGCCAGAGGGACAAAAGACAGAATTCTTTGTGATTTGATTTAATGTTGGTGCGACAGATGTTGTGGCTCACAGGCTGCTGCCACATGCCAGATCCAGATATACTAACAGAATGTGTGTATGTGTGTGTGTGTATGTATATGTAAGTGTGCGTGTGTTCAGGGTCGGCAGCGCTGGATGAATCGTGGGTACAGGCAGACGTCTCTGATGTGATGTCGGTTCAGCAGCCAGGTGAGGAAACGCTCCAGACCCAGACCGTAACCGCCGTGAGGACACGTTCCGTACTTCCTCTGGAATACACACACACACACACAGACACACACACACACACGGAGCAGCCTGTTAACACACACTATTGATACAACACAGTGACACAGGAAGGCAAAGCTCTGGGTGGATTTGGAGAGTCTATGATTTGTGATAGAGATTGGCGATGTTAGCGTCTGTATGACAGCAGGCCTGTAACTGTCTGTCTTAGCTTGAGCAGGTCACGTTTGTGAGGGTCGCCGAGGAACTTCATTTGTACGGAGTGTCTTCCATGACGAACACAACACGGCGTTGCACATGCTCAGTAAGTCAGCATCAGTGCAGGGTCGCTGTCGGAGAGTTTTATAACTCTCCTCCACTCCTCAGCTCACAGAGGTTGCACTAAGTTACATTATGATGTGTTCAAACTCCATTCAGTAAAGTAAGAGTTTTGGGTGAAAGTAGAAAATCACGTTCCTCTGATGTGTTCAAACATAGTCTCGTGAAAAGTAGTTTGTTTTTTTGGGTGAGAAGCATGAAAAAGTCCAGCTGTCTGAAGGAGAATTTGTTGATGTTTTTCACAGCAACATAAAATAAATATTATAGAGGGAAGTGTGATATATGTAGTTTGGGGCATTTTTTTTTATATAAGATGATTTTTATATATTAAGGTCGTTTCATAAATGTGTCTGATGAGTTTGTGCCTAAGAACTAAACTTCTGTAAAACTATTAAAAAATATACTGAAAAATATCTTTTCTTAAAAATATCTGTTTAATAAATAAATATTTTTTTAGAATTAAGATTTCTTTTTTTACCTGGCAGAAAAGAGGGAATAAATAACAACAATAACATCCCTGTTCCTTTCAGGGCCACGGTGCAGACAAGAAATTACAGAAGCACTCAGTGTTGTGTTACCTGGTCAGTGTACCAGTAGTACGGGGTCGGGTCGATTCCCTCCCTCTTGTATCCCTCCAGCAGCTCCTCAGCGTCCCAGATACGCATCGAGCCTCCGACGATCTCGCCAACATTTGGCATCAACACGTCGACCTGCAGCGCGCACAAACACACACAAACCTTAGGCGGAGTATCGATGTAAGGCCACAGTTTCTGAGCTCCCATCTTGGGTGCACACATCAACTCTGAGGGTTCTGCTCCAATTAGCTTAGAGTAGTATTTACTCTATTACTATAGTTTGTACAGAAGCACTGATCGCTGCTCTGTCTCAGGAGAGAGGCGCGCACACACACACACACACACACACACACACACACACACACACACCGCCCCGATAAACCTCCAGGTTTTGTGCCCTAGATTAAAGTTTGACCCCGAGGTTCGTACCGACTCGGTGAGGCGTCTGTCATCGGCACAGCGCTGCATGTAGAAGGATTTGATCTCAGCGGGGAAACGACAGAGCAGGATGGTCTCGTTGATGCTGTCTGTCATCAACCTCTCCGGAGCCTCGGGGATGTCCTGAGAGTGAGACAGGTCAGAGACAAAGACAGGTCAAAACACAAATAAAAATAAATCTTTATTTACAATGCCGTCTAATGGTTACAAAAAAGCACCCAGAAAATAATGAATGTGGTGACACAAACATCTTGAGCTCCTTGACCACACGTCAAAGCAGCATGGTCACATGTTTCTGACAGGTACGGCAGCTCCAGTTTAAAGACAGCCACGCCCTCTACAGGTGAGTCTGAAAACTGCAGGTGAGCTGAGCCCTTTCGTGCTAACTGCATCTGACGACCAGCAGCTCCACAGCTGAACTTCAGACTGAGGTCAGCACAAACTCAACTATGAGCTCTTTACCTACCTGCTGCAGAACGAAAGGATTACACATCAATAACCACATTAAAGGGACACTACACCAATTTTACATGTCAAGTTCAGTTTACTTGTAACAAAGAGACGTACTCAGAGTGGGGCCAGTGTAAAACATTTCAAATCTGTTTGATATTAAGCCAAACACTGGACCAGTATACCCATATTTACCACTAGGTGTCGCACTTGACTCAGCAGCCGCTCCCGAGGAGAACTAGAGTGGAACATAATGCTACCTTCGCTGCACGCACTATAAGCTACGCTGCTGTCTTAAGAGCATCAAACACTGTCCCACCACCCTTATCCGTAGGTTTTATACAGGATGGTGAGTTGGAATAACGGTGCAACATTGCCATCTTGAACAGGCTGAATATCAGGGGCTCGAAATACCAACACTTCGTCATAACTCACTCAGCGATGAACAGACTTTCACATTTATAGTGCTGACCAAGCATGCTGCGGACCAGCCAAAAAACTACTATCATAGTCTCACGTGATGACTGCTGACATGAAATCAAAGAGAATTCTGTGCTACTGAGTCACGATGAGAGCTGTGCTGGCAAGAACTCATTTGGGGAGTGATGTGTGTCGTGCGCAGTCGTCACCTCTCCAAACTCGTAGTAGGAGCCATCGTCCTTCTTGACGTCGTGCTCTCTGAGCCACTCGATGGCTTCTGAGTAGTTCATCCTCTTGAACGGCCTCTTGGGAGGTTTGAAGTTCTGGTGTAAAAATAAAACAAAAACACCATCAGAGAAAATATTTACAGGTGATCAAAAGCTCCAGAACACATACCGAATGGATCTGAGGTGAGATTATGTTAACTGTTCTCTCCAGTGACTACAATGAACTTTGAAGCTCAACATTAGCACCAATGTTAGCTAGATTTTATTAATCATCAAGATTTGGAATTAATGAATGTTCCATCAATCATCAGTTTTTGTTTGAGCACTAATTAATTTTTAATTCAGATGCAAACTGTGCTTCCTTGATACAAGTTAGCACCCAGTTTTAGCTTGAACACATTCCCGCATTTAAAAAAGAAAACCTGACATACGGGGTTGATGTCGTAGAGCAGTGGTGCGGCGGGGGATTTGAGCACTCTGTCCACCACGTCACACACCAGATCCTCCAGTCTGTCCAGCAGATCCTCAAACGACATGAAGGGACACTCGGCCTCGATATGAGTGTACCTGAGAATAAATTAAAAATCAATAGTTATGATATGCTTCACCGTTGTAGGGTCTGTGACTGGAAACACATCCAACACTGACTGCATCACCCAGATGTGCCGATCACTGGGACTAAGAGAAGACGAACTGCAGCTCAACTCCTCATCTCGACTGCTTTCAAGCATTTTGTCTCGAATAATAACCCCCAAATGTGTTTCATTACCAAATAGTTGCTTTGTCATCACTTTTACACCCAGGTCAACAATTCTCCTTTGGGCCAAAGTAACTCTTTCAAACTTTACTGATGCCCACAGCGAGTTCTCTCTGCTGCCTCTCCAGGTGTTACACCACACTTGGACATTACAGCAACTTGAAATTAATTCACTTTTCCCTCCTTTTCTGCAGTTGCTAAAAAGTTGATCAGCATACTCACTCGGACAAGTGTCTGCGGGTGCGGGACTGCTCTGCCCGGTATGACTGGGCGATGCAGAAGGTGTCGCCCAGGGCGGGTATGCAGGTCTCCAGGTAGAGCTGAGAGGATTGCGTCAGGTACGCCTGCTCGCCGAAGTAGTTGAGGCCAAACAGCGTGGAGCCGCCCTCCACCTGAGTCTGCACCAGGGTCGGAGGAGTGATCTACACCCAGAAAAAACAACAACAAAGAAAGAAGGAAAGAAACAGATGTGGTTAAGTTATCTGTTCTCTAAAGTTGGGTTCTTGTGTTGGTAAACAACTGGATTTGTTCAACTCTGAGGGCGACTCATTTTTCATCAAACCTTTTATCCACTCCTCTTGATTTGCACAGATCAACATACAAAACATTTACATAGCAGGCCTAGTTGTCGTTGTTGGCGGAGTCCGCCAGTTCCCACCCTGAATAGAATTTACAGCAAACCATGCATGCATGTAACGCAACGTTCTGGTTGTTATCTTATCTCACTGATATGAGCTCCAATGTTGACTGCTCACTCTCCAGCAGCTGTATCAGAGCTGCAGGAAGTTACTGCTAAAGCAAATCCATTACAGGAAACCATGTCCTATTCCCCTTTGCCTCCAAAGTTAGCACATGTATGCAGGTTTTTTACACGTGGGAGCAACCGCTAAAAATAGACGATAGACACCTTTCCCATTGCCAGTGGACCTGAGCCATGTAGAAGGCTCTGCAGTAGACAAAAATGCCTTTCCGACATGTTGTTTCGTCATAGGCCGGGCCAGAAACAGGTTAGTTAACTGTGTACAGCATCATGGCGGCCAGTGAAAATGCTACGATGGTTACTTCTTTTTTTACATCTCGTACTTATTCAGTTTCTGTTAATCCCTGTGCCAATTAATTTTGGATCAATGTTCGAGTGCTGCTTGGACAGTATTCTGTGGTGGTCCGTCGTTGCATAGCGCGTCCACCTGGGTGTTGAAGATCAGAGCCGAATGCAGTTGGAGCCAATGAATACCTGTGACTACTACAGAGTCATTTGACCCAGGTGTGAATGCTGAATGCAACCTTTCCCATTACAGACAACAGCCAGGTGTTTGATGGTGTTACTGGGGTTTTGTGCTGCTGCGTGCTGCTTCACATTAAAAGCATTCAACTGGCAAAACACCAGGTGGCAGCCACAGCAAGTGTATTATACTGTACTGAAACAGTCACAGTGAACGATTACTTTATCAAAACATCGGTAAGTTTGCCTGGCTGCACTGTCAACGGTCAAACCAGCTTCTGTCGTATTCATGAGCTGCTTGAGGAGAGCATGCTGTAGTATTAAACCACACTTATTGTTACCACAGTAACCATGAGAATGTGCAAATCATCCAGGACTTTGACTTTGAGATAATTTTAAATACAGTCAATAATGGATTTGAATGGATTAAGATTTGATAGAGTGCCACTGAGGCCAAATCCTCCTGTTAGCACATTTAAAGAATCAAGATAAGGCAGTCAAATAAAGACGACAAACATAAGCTACATGCAGATATTTGCAGACTAGATATGTTGCCAACCTTAGAATAAAAAGCTTTTAGCCTGCTGCCTCAAACCGCTGCTTTTAGGACAATTTTATAATTCAGAAACAGGCTGAACATCGTTTAGAGATGGAGGTTTTCCACTTGCACAGAACTCAAAGAGAGGCGGCAGAGTGTCAGAGGAAAAAGCTTCACATCAACAGTGCTGCTGTTTTATTTAAGTGAAGGTCAACACTTTGACTCTCAGACACCTTGCACCTTTTTTTCTTTTTTACAAAATGTAATTCATGTTGTCGACGTGCTTCACCTCGTAGTATCCGCGGCTGAAGAAGTGGTCCCTGAAGCACTGCGTGACCATGGACCGGACTCGGAGGACCTTGGAGACGTTCTCTCCTCTGATCAGCATGTGTCGGTTGTTCAGCTGGACGTCCACGTCCGACTCTTCGTTCAGCAGGTTGTCGGCCCCGCCTGCCGGAGCTAGGCCGATCAGCTCCCAGAAGTCGCAGTGCAGCTCGTGGCCTCCGGGCGCCTGTGAGAGAAAGAGAAGAACTTACTGAGGAGCTTCTTCATGTTTTTTCATACTGTGGTATTAATGCACTTATCTAACGATGCAGAATGCTGCACTTATCTTAGGGGGAGATCACACAGAAATGAGACGCTAGAGAACCATTGTTTTCCTATGATACGCAACGTCTGACCACCGTTCAAGTGTCTTTTTAGGCGCACGTAGACGCTTAAAAGTTAAAATATTTTCAACCTTTGAGCGTCAGATGCCAGTAGCACCATTCGTCATTGTCGTCATTGGCCCAGGCAGCCAATAAAATCCTCCTTCCTGTTTTGTTGTGGCAGTTTGGTCATTTATGGCAGTTACGAGCGACAGACAACACAATGCACTCCGAAGATGAGGAATTTATCCTGACAATATTTGATTTTGATGAATTATACAACACATGCACACCTCAGTACTCGAACAAACACAGGAGGAGACACGCATGGAGCTGTGTGAGCAGCGCAACAAATTTGTCTGGTGAGTACAATGTAATTGACGATGACGATAATATGCTAGCTAGCTAGCTTCACAGTTTTTGTGCTGCATTTTTATGTATGAAAAGTGCTATATAAACAAAGTTGAATTTGATTTGATAGCTCGTGATAGTTTCATGTAAGCTACTGTCTCTACTGTCTTTGAGGGAAACACTATATTCAAGGGGAGACACAGGGAGGTGACAGGAGGTGTGTGTTGCGCGCGCACGCACCCCCGCTCCACAGGCGCTCCTTGCAGTTTTTTTTTGTCTAGCGTGCATTGAATAAGCGCTTTCAGCGTTTCAAGCGTCTTTGAAGCGTCCGCGTTTCTAGCGTCTCATTTCTGTGTGATCACTCCCTAACGTTGCAGAAAGTCATCGTTTTACCACGTGACACTGGAAGATGTTTATTATATTATTTATTCATTTTAGGGAGGCAACCATCGAAATTTCCCAGAGCCAAAGGTGACACCTTTAAATGCCTTGTTTTGTCTCAAACCTCCAAAATATTCAATTCACGATAGAAAACTGAGAAAAGTAGCAAACAATTAATGCATCAGAAAATTTCTGTGGAATTATTTTCTGATCTGAACTATCATTTTATTTGTTTCAGCACAAATTCAATTTTCTCTGTGCCGGTTATTTTGTCAATATTCTGTCTGGTCATAATCTCTGTTCTTACTCTTACATCAGATTTTATCTTCAATGATTGTTATTAGCGGCACGGTGATGCAGTGGTTCGCACTGTCCCCTCAAAGCAATAGTGTTCCTAGTACGAACCCAGGGTTGGGGAGCCCTTCTGTGTGGAGTCTGCATGTTCTCCCTGTGTCAGCGTGGGTTTCCTCCAGGTGCTCCAGCTTCCTCCCACAGTCCAAAGACATGCAGGTTAATTGGTGACTCTAAATTGTCCGTAGGTGTGAATGTGAGTGTGAATGGTTGTCTGTCTCTATGTGTCAGCCCTGTGACAGTCTGGTGACCTGTCCAGGGTGAACCCTGCCTCTCACCCAGTGTCAGCTGGGATAGGCTCCACCCACTGCGACCCCCAACAGGATAAGCAGTTACAGAGACTTTCATACGTGAAAACATTCTTCCCGTTTCCTGTGGCTATTTTTACACTGCCTGTTTAAGGCGATAATTTCACACTATTTCACCTCACCATTCTCCAAAAAAAAAAAAAAAAAAAAAAAGTACAATTGCAGAGTTGTCTCGCCTTTAAGCTGGCAGCAGAGTTAGGAGAAGTGCCAAATCGACATGTGAAAGAGACAGCAGGCAGGACAAAATAGGTGATGTTTTGACGTTGTCTTACATGTGCTCCCACCACAGGGAGATTTGAAAACCAGCAGTTAGCAGCTAACTCAAAGAGGAAGAACAGCTGTTGAAAATGTCTGCAGTTAGTAAAACAGTGAGGTCCAGTAGCTCCTCGCTCTCCGCGCAGACAACGAGATCAGCCACCATATAACAGAGACGGTAAATGATTGTTATTGCCAGATTATGGCGTTATTATTGTTAGGAAAGCACTGCCAACGCATTTGTTATATGTCACACTAGAGGCCGACGCTGTTGTGTTATATGTCATGCCTGTCACACCTTTTTTGCTTCCAGGACTCCAGCATGCTGTCTATAATTATATTCTGGAGCAGCATGATGCTGCCGTTGTTTGGTTCTGTGTAAAAATACATAACGAAGGGACTTCTCGCGGCCCTACAGTGCTACTGAAAGAGGGGAAACTGAAGGCAATAGCTTCTTCTCTTGAAGAATAATATGCCTCAAACTGTCTGTGAGTTATTAACAGTAGTGGTAATCTGAGTGCTTAAAGGTAACGGAAACCATCTTCCATATTCATGGTAGGGGATTAGAGAAACCTCATTTTCCAGCTAGACTGCTCCTGGAGAATGCGCACCATGTTTATGCATAACCAGGTTTCTCATCAGCTTTGAGAGCATGTGCAGGATGAAGGATTCCCAAACTTGTATCACTAAAATACACTGTTCCAAAAAAGGTTCAAGTAAATATTGACAAAATCTAAAAAGCCAACCTGCTGATTGAGCAGCATGTGTGAATCTTACAGCTCTGATTTCCTGTATAACCTGATCTCTCAGAGTGACTTGGTATCTCGTGTATGCGTGTACTCGTGCTGCAGGTTCTGTCTGTTCTGCAGCAGGTGTGTTTACCTGCTTCCCCTCAGGAACTGGAGTGACAATCCCGTACAGAGCGACAGTGCTCTCTGTGGACAACACCAAGCCGTTGTAGCACTGGCACTGAAGACAAGATGGAAAAAACAGTGTTAGTTAACATCAGAGGGAAAATACAGCGTCACTGTGAGCATGTGTGGTTATATCATGATCAGCATTTTAGCTTGAAAAATGTAACTTGAACAGGTATGATGTCGATACACTTGTGTTTAAAGTACCTGCTCTGGTAAAAATCAAGTGTTGTTGTGAGCTGACTCTGATTAAAGCTTATTTTGCCTTATTTCATTTTTAAATTTTGCTGTTTGAGTTGAAGGTGTGAGAAAGAATAGTATCAGTAACATTGTTAACACTGTGCTACGTTACAGAGAAATACAAACCGTACTAATGAACCTTCATTAATATAGGCCTATATTTTATCTCCAAGTGCACGTCACACACTGAGCGAGCCGCCTGTTAATGACGCTGTGGGCTAATGGGCATGTAGCTACTTCCATGTTTCAGATGATACGTCATGTTTGTAGTCGACCAATGAAGATGAGTTTACATATCACCTTGGGTTCGTCCTTCACCTTCTCAAAATGATCCCACACTTTGGATTTCCTGCCCGACATGTTATTAACTAGCCTGTGGAATAACCGCAGGTACCAGCCCTGGAAATTAACCTGACTCCTGTCTGACTGCTGAGCATGGACACTTCCTGTGTCTGTCCTTTCAAATTAAAGTCACACATGATCCAGTCATATAGGTTTGGATTTATTTTGACAAGGCACAGCTCCTGATAGAGTTTCACATTTTTTTGTTTTTTTTTCTGCGACTAAGTGACCAATGAAATCTTGCCGACCATTATATTTCTGGTCGACTAACATTTGGTGGACTATCAGGGGGGCGGCCCTATAAGTAACAGATCCATTTAAGCTAAATACTGTTGTCTCATGTTTCAAAAGAAATCCAAAAGCAAATTGTTTAATTACGTTGTCTTTATTAGCAAGGCTAATATTGTCTCAGTGTAAAGAAAACTCAACCATCAGCAGCTAAAATTAATGTTAAGTTAGTCGACACTTTGACTGAGGAGCTCAACTTATGTTGTAATTATTGGAAAAATGGTGCATTGGTGATGTTAAACAAGTATTCCCACAGCGTAGTGTGGTAGTGTGGTTATACAACTGGAATTTGGAGTGACAAGTATGCTCCTGCCCACCCACCCCCAAAAATTAAGAAATAAAATACAGCACAATAATGTAACAACCGACAAAGAGTGTAAAATGGGGAAGCTGTACCAGTTTATCAGACAGGACACACTGGAGGAAACCAGTTCCATCTCTCAGCACAATGAACATCAGGTTCTTTCCTGTAGGAGACAAAAAATATACCCAGTATAAATATGAGTCAAACTTTCGGTCAATCGAGTTCAAAAGCAAAAGACTTTATGAATTTGAGTGTTGCTTTTTCTGCTCTGAAGCCAGAGACAGAAACAGATATACAACAAAAACTGTCTTCAAACACAACAGTTAGATTCATTTAAAAGAAACGTGTCAGTGAATGTGTCAGGCTCCTCACCCTGTCTCCTGAGACGATGAACCCATCCAAACACTTTGACTCTCTGACCTCGCTTGGCCTCTAGATGGTGGATTTTAACCTGCAAAACACAGTCAACACAAGTGTTTACGTCATTAGTACCTTTTTGGTACCTACAACAACATCTGCACTGATGGTGGTATTGATTATCTGGTCTGATTTGTAATCTTCTTTACTTATTAACTGTTCAGACAGCTCCTGATTAAGAACCATGCATGCAACTAAAGATAATTTTCTCAATTAATCTATTAGCCAACTGGTCTTTTAAAATGTCAGTAAATGGTGAAAAATGTTGATCAGTGTTTCAAAAGCCTGAGATGACGTCCTCAAATATCTTGTTTTGTCCAAAACTCAAAGAAAATCAGTTTACTGCCATAGAGGAGCGAAGAAACCAGAAAGTATTCACATTTAAGCAGCTGAATTATACTGATTATTTTAATGGTTAAACTAATCGATAATAATGGTAGCTCTTTTAAAAACAAAATGTTGCAAATTTTAGACCGCTTGTGTTGCTTGTGTTTAAAACTAGGCCCTGACACACCAAGCTGGCGGTTGGCTGGCGGTAAATGTTGGGCACTGCCCTCATTGGTGCAGTGTGTTCAGCACCGTTGGCCCTCGCCAGCACTAGTTGGCATTTTTTCCACTGATTCATCATGTTGAATCAGCATCAGCACGATTTATGTTGTATTGATTCACAAAATCACTCTGATTGACACTTCAGCTCAGCACACGAGCCGAGAAACTGAAGTGAGGAAAGTAAACAAAGAGCTAAAGTAAGGAGGGTGTGAGACCAAAACAAACTTGTTACATGAGGTGAGATTATTTTTCTTTAGCAGAAACATTTCATGATGGTTTGTATTATTGTTCACTGGCACTATAACATGCTTAGTTCTTTCAACATTGGATTCTTCTGTTAATGTGCTAACTGGCTAACTGGCATCAAGCCGGTCTTCCGGTTTTCCTTTTTGAATGGTATTTACAGACAACCACCGTCCGCTGGTATGGAAAGTTATGTCCTCTCATGCAGGCGCAGACTACACGTGCTAACTGGCCATCAGTTGCACTCTTTGCAGTGTGCTCATGTGCAACTTTTTGGCCGAGACACAGGTAATGTGAGGCAACTCAGCAGTCGGCTTTCATCGTCACTTGTTGTCTGAATTTGGTTTGGTGTGTTTGGGCCTTAACACAAGCCAGTCTTTGTTTTAGAGATAACCTACTGGCGTCTTGTAGCTAAAGGCAACTGAACTGTTTAGGAAAGAAATGCAGTTTGCACTGTCTCCATTCCTGTTCAAGACCATACCGCTGGCTGTAGCCTTAGGCCCCATTTCCACCAAGAAGGTACGGTTCCAAATGCCGTCCACTTTTAAGGTGGAACGTTAACTTGTAATGTTACTCAGTGCATGAGTTGATGACGTGAATCCATCAGCACACCTTAAATTTCACTGTGACAACTTTGACCATCACTTTAATTTTTATATGACACACACTTTAGTAATGAGTGGATCTTAAAGTGTTTATATTACTTTCTACCGGGTTAAATGAACTGCATATATTCTAATCCTCACTTCCTGTGGGCTCCAGCAACACTAAAGCCTTGAGCTTGCCTGAGAAGGACTAAATGCACAAAGCTGCTATTTTTAAATATCCCATGGAGAGAGACTCTCACTGCAGCCTGTTCTATTTTGTTCTGAAAATGTGGCCGTGCAGCCTCGTTCTGTGGACGATAAACAAGGCGCAGACTTCCATCTGTGTCACCGCTGATGAGGAAATACAACGAGTGCATTATATTGATATAATAGCTGAAACAATATGGCTGACCACTTCAGGCTCAGGCAGGCTGGGGTCGTTCTCGATGATGATCTTCTTGGCCTCCTCCAGGTTCTTCTCTCTCCTCTCGCTGTCCTCAGCCTGCATAGCAGACATGGAGCAAGCATTTAAAGACACTACATCAGTTTCTCAATAAACAGACTGAATCATAGCTCACTGCTCTCACAGGAGATGACGTGAGCCACATGGTGCACACACCTCCTTCTTATCTTTGGCGTCGTTCTTCGTCTGCTCACGGTTGAAGGCCTTCTTCGCATTCTTCATCTGCGTCTTGGAGATCACCGCCCAACGCTGAGGAGGAAACAGAGGACAAACACATACAGTACATGAAGAGACTAAGATAAGTAAATAAAAGAGATTTGTCTTTGCTTTCTAGCTCAGGTCCAGGTGATCTGTTGTGTATCGACTGTTATCAAGCGGCATCATGACCCGATTCTGCAGCAGGTTGACAAATACCTTAAGGTGAAAGGGGATAAACTAATCAATGAAAACAAACTGCAAATAATCCCTGCCATCTAAATCAAGACAGAATCATTTCCTGTGTATGTGTACGTAGATAAAATAAAGTTTAAAGGAACACTGTGTGAGATTTAGGAGGATTTAGTGGCGTGTAGCGGCGAGGACTGCAGACTACAGCCAGCTGATATGTTTCCTGGTTAGAATTCCTTCAGCGTTCACTTTCAGGAGGTTTTTGTTTTTACCAGGAGCTGAATTCTCCACAGAGGTCTCTTCCTCTCCAAAACAAAAGGACCAGGTGATTTAGACCGGTAAAATCGCTGGATAAAGCAGTTTCACATTCAAAAAAATCAGTGTTTTTCCAACACTGCTGGTTGCAAAGGGGCTGCTAACTACGGTGGCGGATATGAAACGCAAATGTCCCCATCTAGAGCCAGTGTTTAGTTTGTCCGTTCTGGGCGACTGTAGAAACATGGCGGTGCAACAAAGTGATCTTTGTAGACGAGGACCCGCTCCCTGTGTAGATATAAACGGCTCATTCTAAGGTAACGAAAACAAATGATTCTTATTCTCTCCTACACACTGGACCTTTAATGTGAAAATTCTGAAACTAAAAGATGTTTCAAACCAACCTCTCCTTCCTTCTGTGACTCTACGTAGAGGGTCGGGAACGGCTCCTTCCCAGCGAACAACAGAGCCTGTGAGGATTTGTTGATAAACACAATGACAGACATGTTAGTAAAACAGGATCAGTGGAGCAAATATCAATAACATCCCTATTATTTCTACAACTGACACCAAATCCCGGAGCCTGAAACACCACACGGCTGGGCACAATTGAAGTAAATAACAGAGGTACTTAAAGCTAGGTGCCCGTTTACCTTGAGAGGAGTTTTGAAGGGTTTCTGCTCCGTGCCGTCCCCATCCTGGTCGCTGCCACATTTGTCCGACACATACAGCTCACCTGTGAAGCAGAGAGAGAGTAAGAAACAGCACTACATCCCAGTCACTTAAAATACCTGGGGCGACCCTGGATTTCACAGCAAGTTTCCAGCAGTTTAAGGAAGTGATTACAGGTTTATATCATCAGTGGACACCGTTGAGCTTCAGGCTTCAGTGCCACGACAGGTTATATAAGTCAGAGGGAGGGAGAGACTGACAGGCACATTGCTGGTTTTGGCTTTTCATGGCATATGTTGACAAGAACATAGAAGTAGAATATCACTAGTGTTATCCCTCAGTTATAACTTAAATTATTAACCGTGTAATTAACAGACATTTTACAGGGTGAACGCTGTAGCTGGTGAATACTGGTTTTACAGAAATGACAACTGTTGAGTGCAGGTTTAATCAGATGGAGCTCACATAAATTTCATGAGTTGGCCGTCACACTCAGTCAGTACGTTTACATGACATTAGATACAATGGATTTATTGTGTAAGTCCGACTAAGCACAGACTTTTAAAATACATGTTAACATGTTAGACTGAAATTGTACTAAATCAAAAAACGGACTACTGATTGGGAGTCAAATTACCCAGACTTTGACCCGGAAGTTGAATAGCATTAAATGTGTAACAGAAGAAGAAGCTAGTAGCAACATGGAGAAATCTACATCAAGAGCCATGCATTTCTGAACAGACCAAATGTACAGAGCTGTAAAGTTGTCCACCACGGTACCAGTTAGCTGCTAGCTAACCGTAGCTAACTTGTTTGTCCATTGTTTGGTCTGTGACGTAATAGGTCAACCGGATAAAGGTCCAATACTAACAAGCTGAAAGGGGGCATATCTCCACCTATCGTAGAGGAGTCGCACATACTTGGGTCAATACATGGATTCCCCTTCCGTGCTTGTATACTGGGACAAGGACAGTTGTCCAGTTAAATGGCCCAGTCGAGCTGTAACTGTAGCTCTAATTAACTAAGCATGTAAACGTAGTGACTGAGACTCCTGGTTGACGTCATGTTGGTGAGCTCTCTGAATGTTTCAGCTTCAAGTAAAGAAGAGTGTTTCCACAAAGACCTTCCTCATGCAGCTGTGGCTCAAGAGCAAGTCGTCCAGTAATGGAAAGATCAGCGGTTCTGTCCCTGGCCCCTCCAGTCCGCATGTCAAAGTATCCTGTGTGAATGGTTACTGAGTAGCAGGTGCCACCATGTACGGTAGCCTCGACCACCAATGTGTGCGTGAATGGGTGAATGTGACATGTAATGTAAAAGCGCTTTGAGTGATTGGAAGACTAGAGAGGCGCGAGACAATTGATTAAGTGGCAAGACCAGTAAAAGAAAACCGACTCTTACTGGGACAGCAAAGTCCACAAAAGTCTATTTCCAGTAATCCTACCTCCGTGTTGCTGAAGAATGAGTCAGGTTTTGAACTTTTGCCTCCCGAAGTAATATTGAAACTGATCTAACATTTTAAAGAGCTTAGTCATTTGCAGTGTTATCAGACTGGAGGTAGACAGCGTGGACATGGTGTTGGTGATGTCACCAATGGGATTCTGCAGGGAGGCTTAAAGCCAGTTAGTGTTTACTTCTCACCAACAAATCCACATTCACCTATCAACAGACGCAAACATGACAGAAAACATGGCAGAAGGTATGCGGACATCTGAGCATTCCACCCAAATGTGCCAGCTGAACATGTCTGGCAGTAACAGCCTCCAGGGTTTCAGGCTTCCCAGCTGATTTTGTAACCCGACTGCAGCCTAATTCAGCCCACAGGCACATTAGTGAGCTCCTACACTGATGTTGGGAGATAAGGCCTCACAAACAGGCTGGATAACAGGTAACACAGAAGGTTTGCATGGTGAATGTGACGTGATCTTTCAGCGAGTAACGTAAAGAGTGCTGAGGTCACACACGGGGGAATCTTGACTGAATTAAGAGTGATGACAACAATAAGCAAGTTAAATAAACACACATGAAGCATCTCTACTATAAACCAGGGCTGCAACTAACGTTACACCCAAGTATGTGGGCAGATTCTACCATATACGTTTAGCCATAAGGTGCATCCCTCTTTAAATCCTGACATCTTTTCAGGGTAACTTCAGTATTTTTCAACCTGGGTTTTTGTGTCCAAGTGACTATCAGAAATAGGGATCGACTGGTATTGTTTTTAAGAGCCGATGCTGATACAAATGAAACAGAGATACCGATAGCCGATATTTACAACCGATATACGTCTGCTGTAAAAATCATAGTTGACACAGTTAAAAAAATAAACACTGACACCAGAGGCAGGATAAAAACTCAGACCAAAGACTGAAATTTTTGATCTTTAAATAAATAGGAAAATAAATAAGTTAAAAATAAATAAATAAATAAATAAGTAACGAAGTTGAAGAATATGCCAGCTAAATAAAGACAGATTACTAAAAATAAATACACAACAATCATAAATACAACATTAAAAAATAAAATAAAATAAAATAAAATAAACGAGAGCTCAATTAAAAGCCAGGCTAAAAAGGTCTTGAGTTTGCTTTTAAGAGCCTAGAGTGGTACGTGCAGGCAGTGAGAAGCACAGCAGGGGCAAAACAGCTAAGGAAAGCAAAATTGTATAAGAAAATGAAACAGGCTGCAATGTGACCACTTGAGGCTTTTGTGTACCGTCAATTTATGTCCACTAAAAGCGCCTGTTTTTGCCAGTGACAGGCTCAGGTTGTTATTCAAACTGACTGATGGTGTCTTTTTATTAAAGAGCAAGACCAGATATCTCCACAAACTCACCAGGCTCCACTTAAATACAAATTGAACTGGGTGAAATAAGGATTTGGAGCCTGATGAGTCTTTTTATAAGACCTATGGATAAACGATATTGGATATTTTGCTGATCTGCTGATATATAACAACTCATTTGACTGATAACTGATACAGATATCAATATATCCATTTTTCCCCACCTAATTTTAGTCTCTTCTGTAGTTGAATTAACATCATATTATTCATGCACACTCTTATCGTGACGGCCCACCAGTACATGGAGACATGAAATACTTTTCAGTGTATGTAATATTCATGTATGTGCAAATGAAGGAGACATAAGAATACATGACATGTGTTAAGAATAGCATACAGACCTAAATATACACCATCTGTGGGTGGACCCATCCTATCCTGACCCTGCATACAGTGACACGACAAAAGGCGAAACTGAAAGCATCACAGACGGATCACAAATGGCTAAAATAACGTAATGTGACCTTGATGACAACTTCACATTATGTGTCGAATGAAGGACGGTTAAATTATGAGGCAAAATCACACTGCCTGACGCAGCCCTGTAGCTGCTGCACAGCAAACTGACAGCTGTCACTGCTAATTATTAGCTTTCAGTTTCATCTGCCGAGCTCTGTCTTTGTCTTCATTCGGCATCCGCACATTGGTGAAGTGTCTGTGTATGTAGACCTGCTCGCTTTGATATGAATGGATACCGCGCCGGAGAACCACACATTCAGAAATCAGTGTTAGCTAGCTAACTGCTAACATCTCTGCAACTGATGCAATACGCAGGGCACACATGTCTTTGGGAGCTAGCTAACTAGCTGGCTAGCTCCGGCTAGCTATTTTTTCCTTACCCACTGAGACCTGTTCCACACCTTTCGTTATCTCCGTCGCCATGTCAATCCACGAGCTACAACAGTCCGCTGAGGACGCGAAGCTAAATATTTTTTATTCAGATAAGTTTAAATGCGACCCCAGACGCTGCCGCCGGTGGTGTCTCCTCCGCTGCGGAAATGCAACTTTACGTCAGCCCAACCGCAAGAGGTGGGTCATTTTTTCTGTCGGCACAGTAGATCAACGCTGATTGGACAGCGCTGAAACGTCACTTCCATAACCGCTAATCTGATTGGTGGTGCTCCTTGTCAGTCAAGCGGCTGGCCAATTAAAACAAGCTAACCCGTCAATCAGCACAAACGACTCCGCTTGAGACGAAATGATTAATTTGGTTTTTAAATAAAACAGACTTTGTGCGACTTTAACTCAGGATAATATACAGGCCTCTTAAAGGATTTTTTTGCTTATCGCTGTTGTTCCTAAAGTGTCAGCAATGTGCCCTGTTAATGATTTTCTTCACAAATAATTAAAATCCCAAGTAGATCCTTCTGAGGAAGTTGAAACCATTGACCATATATTTTTTAAATGTCCACATGTGAATTTACTATGGTCTGATACTCTGTCGTTAAAAATGGATAATATTCAAATACATTCATATATATTTTTAATGGACAACCTGGATGCAAACGTTTCATTCATTCAGTCATTTAACTCATAACCATGACTCACATGGTATGGAGCACATATAGTCCTGGCAACAAAACTAAAACAAATATATCACTTAAACAAAGGAAGGACACTCTTCAAAAAGGCACCTAGTTTACAAATAACTTTTAAATTATTAGACTGTAATAATAAAATTAATGTAAACATGGATGGACAAGTTACAAAATATTTTGGCAGATATCTTTGTCTGAAGTTCATGATACATACATTCGTACATTCAAACAGAATGTGAAACTCATCACCAAGACGATTATCATTACATGAATTACAGAACCTCTGGCTTCTGTCCAGCCCTTTATATCTTACACTGACTTTTGGGATTCTGGTGTTATTCACCCTAAAATTACAAATGGCCTGTCTATGCTTCTGATTTTGACACAGTAAGTACTTTTCTAATTTAAACTCTTGTTTAAACTCTACATAAATATCACAAGATGTCATACTATTAAGTTCACTTCGCCATCTTTGCAGAAACTGGTCTTTCATCCTCTGCTCAACCATTAGTTTCAACAAGTCGATGTTACTACATTTTTGAGAGAGCCAAAGGAAAGATAAACCACAGTCATCCAATATCTGCTTCACTTGCAGAATCCATGGTGACACAAATACACCTGAGTTATGCAGTCTAAGCAAACAAGTACACATTATTCTATGCAGTTTACTTTCTTTCCCTTCTATCAGCCTTCCCCAATAACCAATGACTCTCTTTTTAACTGCAGTACAAAGTGGACACCTCCCCAACTCACCATAAAACACATTATTACATGTTGTTGTCTTAACTTTTAGGATATATTTAAGGAATATGAGATGTAATTTTTCAAGTGAATCAAATTTTTCAGACCCCCAAACCTCACATGCATGGCAGGGGATGCTTGCTTATACAACTCATCAATAGCAATTTTGAATGATCCATTATGGATCTCATAGTAATCCCAAGATATTTAAAACAATGAACAACCTCTAAGTTCTACCCATTGCAAACAAACTTGCTAGCATCAACTTTTCTAGATCCAAATGCTGTTTTGGGTAAATACCACAGTCATACTTTTAAGTGGAAGTATGTACTCCCTCACTGTGTTAAAAAATATTTGACACCTACTTTAGGTCGTTCATATGTATGGAAAAATTGAATAGTAAAGCAAAAAAAAACAAAACTGTATACATCTATATCTAGGTGCTTTTGTCATCTCTTGCCTTGCTCTCTTGTGCTTCTGATTGTTTCTCCTTTTTATTTGTGTTGCCTTTTTTGTTTATGTTTGTGCTGCAGCATCGCTCGGACCATTGCTACTAATTTATTTTATCTTGAACTTGTATTCCCCGACTTGTTCTGTACAAATAAAGGGAAAAAAGTCTAAAAAAAACCTATATTATAATGAAAAACTATGAAAATGATGACTTAGTAACTCAAAGTAATGCGAAACCTTCTCACATTTCTCACGTCACATTGTTTACATCTCAACATAATGTGAAACAATGCTAACTCATTATTTTGAGATGAGTAAATCCTTATATTGAGGTATCTGAGACATTATTTTGAGATATGAAATCATTATTTGAGGAAGATTTCTTATTATTGAGACAGTAAGTAGCGCTTCTCATTATTATGAGATACTAAGACAGTATTTTGAATATCTAAGCGCTTTTTTAAAGATGATCAAGTTATTTAGAGAAAGTTTCTTATTATCTTTAGATAGCAAGTCATTATTTTTGAGATATGCATCGTTGTGATAAATGTTCTCACCATTTTGAGATATTATCTCATCATATTGAGATTCTAACTCTTGTTTTGAAAACATTTCTCATTATTTTGAGAGAGTTTCTTATTATTTTAAGATACTAAATCATATTCCGAATAACTTGCTAACTATGATAGGCTCTCGTTTTCATTCCACTGCCGCAGCTGAGCTTTTTCCATACTGAGACAGAGCTGTTAATACATAACATTAAAAAATGTGATGCAAAACTAGAAAAAATCCAACACAAATTAAGAAATAAAATTGATCATGTTGAATATGTATGCAATACTGTAAACAGCGATTTTCATTCAGTGATGTTTAAAGGTATTTGGGAAGGGAAGGGAAGGGCATCAGTGTGAAAATATTAATTAACTCAGAAAAGGCTTTGATATCGATTTAATGTTTGATTTATTGATTTATTAAAATGCTGTGATAAAGACGAGGCGTATAGAGCTGCAACAACACAAACATACATCCAACAGAACAACATTACAGACTACACAACAAGTTAGAAGCTAAATAATCACAACAAATTTGTCACAACACGTTGCGATTGCTTATTTATTATACAAATATTTCACAAAGAACTCACTTGTCATAACAAGCAGTGATAACCACCTCGGCTGAAAAGAGAAAGAGCACCACAAACAGAAACTCTAATAAGATGCCATGGGTGGCGTCTTGTCTCTGTGGGTTTCAGGCTTCTGTGTTTTAAGCTTTACAGATTTCAGCGTAGGATCCATAAACATACAGACCAAATCCAGGACAGAGAGGCTGAGTGAATGTGGTCTGGACTCTGTAGAGGAGAGTCATCGTGGAGTCAGAGACGCTGTAGAAACACAGAGTGCCTGCCCCATGATCCAGGTACACTCCTACTCTGGAGGAGTGAGGACCTGAGATGGGAGTGATGATGTTTTTATGTCTGAATTCATAACTATCATGGAAACACTCCAAGGCCCAAGACTTGTCATTGTGTCCAAATATACTGTCTCTTCCTGTTCTGCTAATAGTCTTGTATGCAACTGCTACAAAAATGCCACTCCCTTTCCACTTCACCTCCCAGTAACAACGCCCAGTCAGGCTTTCTCTACACAAAACCTGAGGCCAGTCAGTAAAACTGTCTGGGTGACGACAATAGTTGTAATTGTTTTCACAGTATTTTGCCTTTAGGCCATCTGTAATACCCAGGTTGTCCATGCCTGATGTGTTTCTATTCAGTCTGATTTGACATGAATATTTGAGGAATTCAGCTCTGGTCTTGGGCTCTGCCTGTGCCAGTAAAACATCTTCAGACCCTGTCAGTGATATCTTGGTCCACTCCTCACTAAGAATGTCCTGCAGTTTATCTCTGACCCCTGACACAGCTGCAGTCATATCCTCAGTGTACCTCAGAGGACGGATCTTCACTCCGGATGAATCTGTAGCTTCACTAAGTCGTGACAGCAAAATGTAATTGTGCAAAAACTGGATGTGGTCATCTGCGTGTGAGAGCTGCCCCAGCTCAGCATCTTTCCTCCTCAGATCAGCGATCTCCTGCTCCAACTTCTCCTGAAGCTCATTGGCGAGAGTCACCCCGGATTTCTGACGAGATCTGATCTGCTGCTTCGCGTCTGTGAAGATCTTCTTGATGTCCTCCACAGCTTTATCAGCAGAGCGATTGATAGCCTCCACCTCCTGCTGAAGCGCCTTCACATCTTTCTCTCTGTTCTGGATTCTCTGCTGGATCTTTTGTCGAGTCGCCCCGAGCTCTTTCTGCTTCTCAGTCATTTCTGCTGCAGCTGAGACTGTGTCGTGGCCTTTATGTTCATCCATGGAGCACAGATAACAGATACACTGCTGATCAGTGCGGCAGAAAATCTTCATCACCTCACTGTGACGAGTACAGACGTTCTCCTGAAGCTTCTTGGAGGGGTCCACCAGCTTGTGTTTCTTTAATGGAACAATTTCATGGTGAGGCTGGAGGTGCTGCTCACAGTACGAGACCAGACACTGCAGACAGGACTTGACAGCTTTCACCTTCCTCCCAGTGCAGAAATCACAGCCCACATATTCAGGTTCAGCGTAGCAGTGATCAGCAGGAGCAGCTTGGAGTCCTGTCTTCTTCAATTCCTCCACTAAATCTGCCAACACTGTGTTTCTCCCCAGAGCAGGCCTCGGTCCAAAGGTCTGCCTGCACTGAGGGCAGCTGTGGATTTCTTTCTGATCCTCTTCATCCCAGTAGTTTTTAATACAGCTCATACAGTAGCTGTGTCCACAGGGAATAGTCACCGGATCCTTCAGTAGATCCAGACAGATCGAGCAGGAGAGTTTTTCCTCATCCAGCTGAATTCCTCGCTGCGCCATTTCACCTAGAAGAAACAGTGAAAGTGAAATAGTTTCACCATGAGATAAGCACAGAACACTTGCTGTTCTGCAGTACATAAGATGCCAACTCTTGCAGGTCACAGCATGCTGGTTACACCCATCTGTACACTGGCAGATCTGTGGTGGGTGGAGGAAGCAGGAAACGTAGACTGAGAGGATTGGCTGTGTTTGGGAGCAGGAAGAAGAGGGAGGGACTATGACAGTTTGCTTTATTCCAGGAAGAGGAGGCACTGTGTGCTTATAGCCCCTGTCTACCAACATGCAGTGAGCTCAACATGTGGTGCAGGAGACGCTGTTCATGCTCTGAAGAATCATAATATGTTTTATCAATTGTAAACAGTGTAGAAAACCAACTATACTGAAAGGTTTCATTTTACAGCAACTGTATAACATATATTTGAGTTGATAACAGATTCTATGTAGTCCTCTAGCATATATGACATATTGATCTCAAAGGCAGTCAGGGGAAGCAAATGAGTGACTGCTAGGATGATAGTTTAGGTGAGGAAGAGGAGAATGCTCTTCATGAAAAAAGGACAGCGGATTCAGGGAAATTCTGCTTCTCCCATTAAGAGCCACATGTACACTGTACACCTGCAACATGTAAATTATTCAGTGGGTCCCATGTTGTCTAAAATCCCCCCCTTCCTTCTAGAATAAAGGTGTGACAGAAACTGTCAGTCAATCACATCACATTTTCTCCAGCAGAAAGGCAGCCGACAGGACCATGTGTCACCTTTGCTCCACTGGAGGGGCACCCTAGAGAGCAAATTATTGCATTTTCTCCACTAGAAGGGCACCATACAGGGTCCTGCATTCTGTTTTCTCCAGTGGTGGGCACCCTAGCAGGCAATTCATTCTATTTTCTCCACTAGGAGGGCACCCTACAGAGCCCTGCATCACCTTTGCTCCACTTATGTTTCACCCTCAGGGGAAATTTATTGTTTTCTCCACTAGAAGGGCACCACACAGGGTCCTGCATCATATTTTCTCCAGTGGTGAACACCCTTGAGGGCAATTCATCATATTTTCTCCAGCAGAAAAGCATCCTACAGGGCCCTACATCAACTTTGCTCCACTGGAGGGCAAGTCACTGTGTTTTCTCCAGTACAAGGGCACCATAACAGGCCCAGTGTCATGTTTTCCCCACTGGAGGGCACCCTACAAAGCAAATCACTGCATTTTCTCCACTGGAAGGTCACCCCACAGCACAATTCACCATATTTTCTCTACTAACAGGCCATCCTACAGGGCCCTGCATCACCTTTACTCCGATCGAAGGGCACCCAAGAGGGCAATTCATTGTGTTTTTTCCATGACACATTTCCTAGGAGGCACTCAGGGTTGGAAATGAGCACCAGCTGGTAAAATACTTAATTCACCAGCCACAAAAAAACAACGGTGACCTACTTACTTTCTAAACCTGGGGGCACTTTATCAGATCCGAGAGGGCACTTTCACAGCTGTTTTTGTACCCCCAGCACATCAGTGCACCACTGTTCAAAAGTTTGCAATCAACTGTTAAACTGAGGCCTTTACTCTTTCCATCAAACGTGTCAGTTTAAAAAGAAATGATATAATTCAGATACCTAAGATGTTCTTTTTACCGACATGATTACAGAAGAATTATTTAAATTTCAATTTAGTCGATGTCCCTACAGTGTTGCATGACAGGGGAGAGTACTGTTGGAAATGTGATTCTGAATTTCTCAGTCCAGAAAAACATGACTCACTAGTGACAAGTAGTATTAGTAGTAGTATTTTTTTTCTTCTGTGTAAACGATATATATCCGGTTGTACGTCGTCAAGTCGCTCAAGGAGTTGTAAGTGCTGTCCAGGAAGCCAAGAAAAAGTGCAAACAACACGTGCTTATAGAAAAATAAACTTGTATTAGTCTTATCACTGACACTGTGACCCTTCTTATGACTATTATTACAGATGTTCATACTGCATCCACAGATGTTAGTACTGTCTGTATTGCCATACTACTCCTCCTCCTCCACCTACAAGAGTTCCCACAGAAAGCAGACACAACGCACATCCCTTTGAAAAAGGATTGTGTTTTATTTACAGTGACTTTCATCGGAATTACAATACAAATGATTTATAGACTGAGTCTCCACAGAGGAGGTCAACTGGAGGCTGTGTGTGTGTCTGAATGTGTGTGTCTGTGTGTGACAGCAGAGTGTGGCAACTTTGGCAGAGGGGAAAGTCCTTGGATGTATCTGCAGCCTCCTCTTCCTCTTCTTCTAATCCTCCCCATGGTTCTCCTGCTCAGTGACTCTCTCCTTTCTTTCCCGTAACCTGCATGGCGACAAAATAAAAGTGATGAGTCATAAAACAAACCTCAAAGTGAATGAATCAAGGTTGCTGTAACTGGTCCGTACCCTCTTGAAGTCGCTCATGTTGGTGGCCTGTACTGGAGTGCCTATGAATGTAAGGTAGTTGATTTTTGTCGTCTCCTCGTCTCCTTGGTTTGACTTGACGAACAACTGGTGAGGAAAAGAGACACACATCATCACAAAAACACGCTGAGCCGGATAAACCTGTGAGGTTTTGTAACCAGTAGATGGCACAGCTGGAATCATGTCAGTCCTGTACTGGGTTGGGTACCTGACAAGTAACACCATTTCCCTCAGTGGAAACAAAGCTTTAATTCACTTTAATTTCACAGCTAAGAAACAATAAATTGTGAAGACAATAAAGCCTCCACAAAAATAGCATTTTAAGTCTTGTGTGTGATTTATCCTGGCTTCATATGAACAGAGGAAATCTCTGCAAGACGCTAGGCTAATTTATACAATGTAAAATGCCATAGGCTTGTGCTAATAACGTTAGCATGTTGTATTTGTTTGGAAAACGTGTTTAGTATAAGACAGTTGTTTTGTCAGTGAACCTTGTGAGTTGTAATGGAACCAAATTATGTAACGTTACCTTTGTTAAATGTTGCTGTTGTCCCTGGATTAATATAAGGAGAGGAAAAGTCTGCTAGCCGCTAGGCTAATTTATACAATGTAAAATGCCATAGGCTTGTGCTAATAACGTTAGCATGTTGTATTTGTGGGGAAAATGTGTCCAGATAAAGACAAGTGTTTGTCTGTGAATGCTGCGAGTTATAGTGAAGCTGATTTGTGTACTTGTGTTTGAAACTGTCTCTATTAAGCCATGTTTAATGTGTGTTTAATGTGTGTTTAATATGTGTTTAATATGTGTTATGAATCAACTAAACTTTACAGCACTCAACAGAAACCTCCGTCGCCGACTAGTGTTTTGGATGTGTAACTGCAGAGTGGCACAGACACACCACCACACAAGTATAAATGCTCACAACGGCGTAGGCCACCTGCGTAGGCTACGGTGTTTTATTTATTTGTCACTCACCGTAACACTCTGTACATTCTGAAACTTGACGTAGCGCAGAGGAATCAAACCGTCGTCTTTGTAGTCCTCCTCTGACAGCTCCAAAACCTGAGTGGCTTCACTCCGCTCGGCGTCGTCAAAACCCATCGACCGGGGGAGATTGATGAACACCTTCATCACCTTAGGGGCTTGGGCTGAAGGAAAAGTGAGAGGAGGGAGGAAGCAGTGGGAGACAAAGGGAAGGGAAGAATAAGATGTTAGTTATCAGAGAAATTTATTTTGATTGCAATACCTCCAGTTAATAGATTCAGATAAATGAAATTTTATTAAGTGTAGCAGCATAAAAAAACCTCACCAAAGTCTGAGGACAGTAGCTTCATAGAGAAGAGCTTCACAGGCTGGTTGAAGGCCATAGTTATCAGCAACTAGACGAGATTAACAGACAGCAATATATCGGGAAAATTACCTTCAAATTCAACTTATCAGACAGGTAAACTGAAAAACAATAAACTACCACAGAGTACGGAGGGAGCTGAATATTTTCAAATGTGTTTATCTGCCTTGACAGCTGATTTTGTTTACTCTGAGTTATGGAGTAAATCGTTCTGTGTTAAAAATGGGGTGCATAAATGAAACTACTAGGACTGCCGAGAGGACACAGGGACAAGTCAGAGTTAACAGCTCGTACCTGTTCATCACAGTCGGACTCCATGTAGGTGGAGTCTTTGATTAAGCAGTTATCGAAGCCACAGTCGTCGCTCTCGTTGAGGCACTCGCAGCCGGCTTTGTTGACAAACGGCATGAGGTCCATCTGAAAAACGAAACAAACACAACTGAAATAACTCCTGGGTCTACCCCTGCCTTTGTTTAACACTCACATTTATACATGTCATTCATATATTAAAACATGTCTTTTTGAGGCAACTGGCTGATTCACATTCTGTCAGGTTTACACAGGAACTGTTCATACTAATTTCTTTCTTCTGTTTCCAACCACACGACACACACTGTGAGTTTTCTGGTTTTGTTTTGTGTTTTTCCCTGTCAGATATAATTTATAAAGCCTTTACTCACCAGGGGTGTGACAAATAACATCCAAAATGTGAAATACTTGCCTGGGAATATTTCGCAACAAAACTATTCATACCGAGGGGCGGCCTCTAGCTCACCTGGCAGAGTGTGCGCCCCATATAGGTCCTTTGCAGTAGCTCAGATTCCATTCCTTTGTTGCATCTCATTCCCCCAACCTCCTTTCTATCGTCAGCTATACTATCACTAAAAGGGACAGGCGATAGGCAGGACTATGGACGTGACAGGTGTGACATTTAGACCTGTTATGCAGGCATTGGGAGATTTAAAAAGTAGCTGATAGCAGTTAGCAGCAGCTTGGAGAAGAACAGTGGCTGAAACTGTCTACAAATTGGGAAAACTATGAGGTCAAGGAGCTCCTTATCCTCCGAGCAGAGGACGAGATCAGCCGCCACATAAACGGGACGGTAAGTGATTGTTATTGCCATGTTATGCCATTGTTATTGTTTACAAAGCGCTGCCAATGAGTATGTTATACGTCACAATAGAGGCTGACGTGGTTGTGTTACGCCGTCACGCCTTTTTTGGCACAGGCACGTAACCTGTACAGACAGATACTTGTTTGCAGTCTCTGTCACAATCAATGGGATATTTAAAAATAGCGGGTTCGTGCACTCTTGTTGAGCAAGAGTGACGGTTTTCTTTTGAACAATCAGCAGACTACAGAGTTTCTAGCTCCACCTTTTATTATTGGATCAGCATGCTGCTGTGGGTACCTCAACAGAAGGGTGATGAAAATGGGACAGAATGGAGGTGTGTTATTGGTACCATTAACAACTTCTGAGAAGTTTGCCGACACGGAGCTTCTGTGTCGTGACGTTACGTCTGTTCTGCACAACACGAGTGGCTGATGCCTTTAATTGCTGCGCAAAAAAATCAACCTTGTTGCAGAAAAAATTAGTCTGCTTTTTTGCCATGTGATATTTGCAGTCTATGTGAAAGTGGATATGAGGAAAAACAACAGTTTAAAAATAAAAAAAATATCTACTGATGGGCAAATTAATCACACGAGAAAAAGAAAACACCCCTGGTGTGTAAAGGCCGTTATTTGCTTCACAGCTGAAGAGGGTCATGTCTGGAATGTGACAAAATGGCTTCTTCTTCACGTCAAATCCTGCACACATACAACCAAAATCCTTCAGTAGAGAGGTGCCAGTAATTTAACATCGTCAACTCACGTATCCCTTTGGAATGTCCGAGTCCTCGCTGTTTCCCGGGTCGTTTTCCGTGTGCTGTTTGATCTTCTCCTCCAGACCTGCAGCGTCCACCCCCTGATACTGGTCCAACCGAACCCGGTTCCTGAAGAACAAGAACGTCGGTGTGGCTGTGATGTTGTTGGCTGCTGCTGTTGCCTGGGAAGAGGAGAGAGGGTTGGTTGCATCCTCCAAACCTGGTCTAAACTAAACTCTTTAGTCACCTGTGTCTACCTTACATTTCTGTTACAGCATGAGGATCATGTTTAGTTGCTTTGACTCAGTCTACAACACTCGCAAAGACAGGAAATGACAAAATTAGTGTTTTTCTCTCCTTAAAACTTGGTCATTGTTTTATTAGCTCTTTGTTTTAACTGCTGCTTTTCTAATGTAGGATGAGGCTGTTTAGCAGAGTGAAGGCTCTGTGAATACAGCTTGTGCTCATATCTTCACTCTGCCCTCATCCTGTGAGGTTTAAAGTTTATATCTTAAATTTAACAATTTAATTTAGTTTTCTTCGCATAAATGCGTGAGATGACGAGATAAAGGCCGACTGCACATCTTAAAAAAAGAGACATCTTACACCCCTTAGAATAAAGAAGGTCTTTTGATTCCCCCATGGTGCTTTGGCGACCCCTAGTGGGGGTCTGTACCCACTGGTTGGGAACCACTACTTCAGAAACTTTTTTTCCTCCAGAGACACTGACTTGTTTTGGGGGGAAGTTTGGTCCACTAGTTACTTTAGTCAGTATAATGTAATACAATATAATGAGATGACTGGTACTAAGATCATACATGTGTCTCTGACACGCAAAACAGTGACTAACTTTTCAATGACAGCTTTTCTTTTTGATGCTTCCGTAACAACTTGTCTTGATTAAATTAAGTGAGTTAAGTTTGTCAGGTTGCTTTTTTTCTTTTGGTTGATTAATTTTTTTCATTTAATATCGCCTCAACACTAAAAGAAATTTAAAAACCAGGCCTGTCATTGGTCTAAATGAGTCAACACAAGTTTATGACCTGACTTTAGCTCTGGTCTCACTCTGCTCAGATAATTATAAAACCATAACATAATGCTACAGCTGGGTTTTCATGGGAAATTGATTCAACAACTGAAGATATTCTGATACCATTTTTCTCTTTCTGATACCGATTTTAATACCTGAACTTGCGCATTGGCTGATACCAAGAACCAATTCTATACCACTGTGTGAATGAACACCACAGAACTTTCTTCTATTATCTAATTTGACTGTCTGTCAAAAAAATCTTGGGAATAAATAAAGATTCTTTAAAAAAACAGGCAGCCGCAATTTAGTAGCAAGCACCACTAATG